AGATCTGAGGCAGCACACCATAATCACTGCTCTGTCACAACCCACTGAAGACAGAGGTACCACCTAGAAGATCTTTGCAAGTGGCACTCTGTAGGTCCTTGGTCTTGAGTACTGTGCAGACAGTGTACTATTCAAAGTCTAGGTTTGGGTCCAGGCAGATCTGGCAAGCCAGCTAAAATGACTCATTCATTTTATTTAGAATCCTGTGCTCAAATTTTTTTTAGTTTCATAATAAGCCTCCCCTAAGTTAACTGAAAACTGCTAAACACATCTATTCCTGCTCCTGTTGTCAAAAATAAGGCAATCCTCTCTTTGCCTACATTTTTGTTGGCACATATTACTTCAGCATACAGAGTGAAGCACAGTCTAAATATTTTCCAATTGTATTTCCAGAAAAATCTTCAGTTTTGATATTTTTCAGTGCTGTAATCTACCACTCAAGCCACTTTCTTTACTATATGTTTACTTCTGGTGCACTTTAGCGTTAGTTCTGTGGTATGGCATGTAAACCTAAACATACGGATGAATCAGAAATAACTCATTGATTTGCTTGTGATTCTGGGAACACTCTCATTGCAAAACTGAAGACTGACTCAAGATACAGCACTTTCATATCTTATAAAATTAAAGAAAACTGCTATCAGAGACAGTCGAATATTTCTAATAAAAGTCAGTTTTACAAACAATATTTCACATGGTTCACTCCTCTCACGATTAAGTGAAGGCTGAATCCTTCATTCCCCTTCCTATGAGCAACAGAAAACGTTCAGGATCACTCCATTACTCTTGAGAAATAATGTCTACAAATGTAATCTTTTCTAGATATTTCCATTTAAGAACCAACATTCTTATCCAACCGGATTCATCAAAACTTCTATTTTCTCTTGCTGTCATACTGGTTATACCCAGTTGCCATTTTGTTGCTCAAGCTAAAAGTAATTTCATTGGTAATACTGTTCAGGAGCCATGTGGATTCAGGGTACCTAAGCTGTAAAAGTCAAGTTACATTTATTTAGTTGTATTAATCCAGTTGCATCTGGCAAGCTTAACATTGGATTCTGAAGCATTGCTCCCTGAACTGACTCTCTAGGCAACATACAAAGGTCAAGTTCTCAAAACCTTAGGGAGCACGAAGCTAAGTGCATGCTAATTTAAAAACCTTAGATTTGAAGCATTATTACTCTCAGCTTCCTGTTCTCAGAGGATTATATTTAATAGTGTTTCCCATTCTAGGAGTCAGGAGCGAACACTGGTCTGCTTTTATTAGGTCAGGGTCAACCACCTGACTTTGCTCACTTGATAGAACAGCCTCCTCAAGAAGCAGCTGAACAACAAAATGCACACCATTTATATGCTGCTTTTCCCTGACTCCTTGGACTACTAAATATTCCATCGAGAAACATTAGATATGAAGTGCTGTTCAGGAGTGATGGATAACGACATTAAAGAAACGCTATCTATCTGCCTCAGATCTGTAAAACCTCTTCAGTTTATGCACCAAACCAGGCTATGTTGCAATTCAATCTATCTTATGTCTCCTTCATGAAATACCATGGAGTGAAATACAGTATCGATAATACAAATGGAAAACTTAGAGTTAACCACACTGAAGTACCGCAAGAATTTCCCCTACCTTGACGATATGGGTTGATTTTTGAAGTGTATCCAGACAGCTCTCAGAAGATTTAGGTTTCCTTTGCACTAAGGGAGACAGAATAACATTCTTGGTTGTTGGAACAATGCATTTCAGATTTACTTCATTGACAAGTGCAACAATTTGCCTAAGCTGTTTGTTTCCCAGGTACAAGGGCTGCTCCAAAAGTAATGCCTTCTATTTTATTATGTTGGCCTGCAACGTCAGATGTGGATGTTGGTGGTACGGCAGTAGAGGTTGAACCTTCCTGCCAATATCCTGTTCCATTTTGTGGCCATGTGGCAGATGGCAGCAGAGGGGCAGTCAAACAAAATGTGGTCTGACACAGAAGTGCAAATGAAGCAGAAATCACAGAATCACAGAATGGCCAGGATTGGAAGGGACCTCAAGGATCATGAATCTCCAACCCCCCTGCCACATGCAGGGCCACCAACCTCCCCATTTAATGCTAGACCAGGCTGCCCAGGGCCCCATCCAATCTGGCCTTGAACACTTCCAGGGACGGGGCATCCACAACCTGGGCAGCCTGTTCCAGTACCTCACCACTTTCCCTGTAAAGAATTTCCTCCTGATGTCCAACCTAAATCTCCCTTCTCTCAACTTAAAACCATTTCCCCTCATCCTGCTGTTATCTACCCTTTCAAAGAGTTGATTCCCCTCCTGTTTATAGGCTGCCTTAAGGTATTGAAAGGCTGCAAGTAGGTCACCCCATAGCCTTCTTTTCTCCAGGCTGAACAAGCCCAGCTCCCTCAGCCTGTCCTCATAAGGGAGGTGCTCCAGTCCCCTGATCACCTTCGTGGCCCTCCTCTGGACCCTCTCCAACAGCTCCCTGTCTTTTTTGTACTGGGGACTCCACACTTGAACGCAGTATTCCAGATGGGGCCTCACAAGAGCAGAGTAGAGGGGAATAATCACCTCCCTGACCCTGCTGGCCACCCCTCTTCTGATGGAGCTCAGAATACCATTTACCTTCCAAGCCACAAGGGCACACTGCTGGCTCATGTTAAATTTTTCATCTATCAAGACCCCCAGGTCCTTTTCCACAGGGCTGCTCTCAAGGACCGCTCCTTCCAGTCTGAATGGATCCTGGGATTCCTCTGGCCCAGGTGCAAAACTCTGCAGTTTGCCATGTTGAACCTCATCAGGTTCACCCAGGCCCACCTTTCTAGCCTCTCGAGGTCCCTCTGAATGGCATCCCTCCCTTCAACCGTGTCAATCGCACCACTCAGCTTGGTGTCGTCAGCAAACTTGCTGAGGGTGCACTCGATTCCGTCATCGATGTCATTGATAAAGATGTTAAAGAGCATCGGCCCCAAGACAGACTCCTGGGGGACGCCGCTCGTTACCGGCCTCCACCTGGACACAGAGCCATTGATGACCACCCTCTGTCTGCGGCCTTTCAACCAGTTTCTTACCCATCGAGTGGTCCACCCATCAAATCCACGTCCCTTCAATTTGGAGATAAAGATGTGGTGGGGGACCATGTCAAAGGCCTTGCTCAAGTCCAGGTAAATGACCTTGGTCGCCTTTCCCTTGTCCACCAATGCCATCACTCCATCATAAAAGGCCACCAGACTGGTCAAACATGACCTTCCTCTGGTGAAGCCGTGCTGGCTGTCACGGATCACACGCCCTTTCCTCATGTGATCAAGCATGTCATCCACGATGATCTGTTCCATGATCTTCCCAGGCACAGAGGTGAGACTCACCAGCCTGTAGTTCCCGGGGTTTTCCTTGCTCCCTTTCTTGTAAATGGGAGTGACGTGACCCTTCCTCCAGTCATCCAGGACCTCACCTGACAGCCACGACTTTTCAAATATGATGGAGAGTGGCTTGGCAACCACCTCAGCCAGCTCCTTCAGGACCCTGGGATGCACGCCATCCGGCCCCTTAGACTTGTACGCGTTCAGTCTCATGAGGCAGTCTTGGACCTGCTCTGTCCTCACAGCAGGGGGGGATTTACCACCTCGGTCCCCACCCAGAGGTGTAGAGATGCAGGGCTCAGGGACTTGAGAAGTACTGGAGTCCTGGCCACCAATGAAGACCGAGGCAAAGAACTCATTCAGTACCTCAGCCTTCTCTCCATCCGTTGAAGCCAGTTCTCCTTTTACATTTACCAAAGGAGGTACACTCGCTTTGGCCTGTCTCCTCTGGGCAGTGTACCTGTAGAAAGTCTTACTATTGTTTTTCATGTCCCTCACCAAGTTCAGTTCCGCCTGCGCCTTGGCTTTCTTGATCCCACATCTGCAAGTCCAGACAGCATCCTTGTATTCTTCCCAGGTGACATGCCCTTGTTTCCAGAGCTTGTATGCACCCTCCATGTGGAAAAAAATGGCACCCACTGACATCCATTGATGCTTCCTGAACATTTCTGGAGAACAAACAGTATGTGAGCACAGTGAGGCTGCGGGTGGTACATTTCAGCAACGGTGACAGTGGGCCACCTCCACTGGTGCAGATGGTTATGAGCACAGCATGCAGGCTCTTGTTCATTGCTGGTACATACATAGCTCATGGTGGTGACCACGCTGAAAACTAGTGCTTGGTAGTGGAGAATTTGCTCCATCAACTAGTGCTTTTGTGCTCTTTTATCTGTTGTAATTTCCATGGACATTGCTTCCAGAGCGATCTACGTACAATTGATTAGCTCAGCAATCTGTTGTGTGTCAGTGCTTGTTGAACTGCCACAAGCAACATGGCTTTTAATTTCTGTTCTGTCAACTGTTGACAAAAACCACTAATGATAGATAACCCAAATATTGTAATGTTTTACATTAATCAGACTAACACTTTTTCAGTCGTTCTCTCATTAATATAAATGGTTAACTGCAAGCATTAAAACCAGGCTGAGCCATGGGAAAATTTAACTTCTGCTCTATTCTCTTTCAAACACTTCTGCAGGTATAGAAATGCATACAACTTCTTTCACTGCAGTCCCCACCTGATATACATGCAATCATCCCTGCTGCTGCCAGGTTCTGCAGACTGCAGACACACGAAGCACCAAGACTGAACTGAACACTGCTTTCTTGGTACAAAAAAATGGTCTTCTCAGAGCCTGAGAAATGTTGTCAGACAGCTAAAAAGCAAGTAAAAGCTGAGGTTTTGATGCAAAATACATGCACAAGAAATCCTGATTTTGGATATCCATTTTTCTTACTAAGAAAACAAAATTCACACTGCACATAAGGGACACTGGATGATATTAGTAATTTTTGGTTTTGTGAGGATTGTGAAGTAAACCCAGAAAGACATTTTCTATTTTTGGTGGTGAACAAAACATTTTTCTTAGGAAACAATTCACCTCTTAATTTTCTGTGGCAAGAGACACATATTAGCTAAACCACAACCATCTCCTCATTTCTGTGTCAATTTAGAGCAAAATCCCCCCTCCCAAAGCAAACCAGAACACCACTACAGAACTTTGTGCAGCTCTTGCCACCTGTGATCAGAAGCCATGTTTAGAAAGCATAATGTTAGCTATGAAGCTCCCTCATTTGTGTATTCAGCCAAATTCCTTCAGGCTCCAGATGCCAACTTTCACTTTTTTCTTTTTTTTTTTTTTAATGTTGAAAGGCTTTGATCCCTAGTAACAGATACTGTTATTTTTAAAATCTTTAAAATAGGAACTATTCTTGGATCTTATTATGAGCATAATGAATGGTTTTGAAATTGCCAACGTAACTAATGTGAAATTTGTTTAACATGCAAGCTCATTACACTTATCAAATTAATTTACTTTATCACAAACAAGCCTCCTGGGACTATATTATTACCTTCATTGTGTTCTTCTTGACTGCCACAATTTTATAGTCCAACTAATAATTGACAACAGAAATGCAGCAAAAAAAGAGCAATCTGTAATGACTCATTTTTCTCCTTTTTTCCCCTTGAACTCTTGACTTGGTGTGAACCTGCCTCTCTGTAGCTTCTGGCTATTTCAGGTGTCACTCCATCTTCAGCCCCAAACTGCACATCTACATGCACGCATCTGAGAGACAATTAGCTGATATGGAAGCATTCACACTCGGTTTCTGGAACCACAAGAGTCACATCAACTGTAGTATTGGAATATTTCTAAGAATTTACAGCTATAAATAGTGTAAATTCTCATTGATAGGAATAGGAATGAAACAGAACTGGCAGAAATGGGATTTCAGAAGAGGCATTTTCAAGTGTAATATTACTTATACCTGGGTGCTATCAGCAGCAAGGTAACTACATCACGTTTCCTCAGAGGATTAAACATTTGTGTATGGTTCCCAATGAGAAGAAGAAGAAAAAAATAAACAAACAACAGTGTAGAAGATCTCAAATCAAAATGGCTACAAACAGAAAAGAAATTTGCTCTCAACTTCCTTGTTTAAGAGGCCTGGGAAGTGGTTTATTTTTTTTGTGCTAGTGTGAACATTCATACTAATAGTTATTAGCTGACCATCACAGACCCTTTCCAAAGGCAGTTTGGAGCAGGGTGCCAGAACCTTGAGTGCAAATGATATCAATTTTAAAATCTGTGAGATGTCTAATGGGAATCTTAACACAAGGGTGGAAAAAAGATTAATCTACTGTCAGAGATCGAGGATGATGTACAACATCTGTAAACACTTAACAGAAATCAGATTTAATCAGCAATAATGCAAACTCAGTAAGAAGGGACAGAGTGACGCCCAGATTACTTAGTATGTGCTCTTAGCAAATGATAAATGCCCTTTTAAAAGTGAGAAACAATTAACAGTTATCTTCTCATTACTACTTCTGACACGAAAAATAAGCCTTTAATTACATGATTCAATTTTCTTCTTCTTGGCAAGATGTCTGAGACTTTTCGCAGCATGGCTGAACACAGGATGTGGAACAAATTAATCTAAATTAGCGCTGCAACAGATCTAATACGATCAGCAAACAAGAGACATTTCTTGCACACTTAATACTGATAATGTCCTCCAATTATTACTTGCTATAAAACGTATTTCAAGAGTTAGATATGTGATGCTTTCAGACACTGAATTTTAGAACACCATACTGCTCTACAAGCGTGGGCAAATGTAACAGCTCAAGACTCAATATTGCTACTGCTGTAAATGACATGCCCTACACAAATTATTTGTTCCTACTTAAATAAGAAGCCAGCAGTTGTCTGTTCCTTTATTTTTATTGTGGATTGGCTTTCATATTTAAGCTCTGTGGGGCTGCAAATGAATTCAGTAGGATAAATGGCACAAACCAAAATAATAAAAATAGGCTGCTAATCCTTGTATGTCATTTCTAAGAATGCTTAACAGAAGCTTTCCACCTGAAAGTCAAATGCACATAAGGAAACAATCTATAAATTTTACTGGAAAGGGATAACAGAGCAGAAGTAAAACAAACATGAACAATATTTTTAATTCCTTAAGCTTTACTGCTAGCACTGCCGTATGTATGGCACATATATTTAATCTTTTTAAACACTGATGCAGATACACTGACACAATGGCCACTTCAGTTTTAATGTATAGCTATCTCAAAGATCTCTGAAAGAATGCATGAAGCTGTTATCCTTGTTACTTCTGCAGTATACCACTAATGTTTCTCCACTTTAAGCTAATAGTTGTTTTTTCAAGTAGATGGCAAATTAAGAATTTAATTTTATTCCAGTTACAACTGCTCCCTCATTATAATTCAATTTACAATTATGCCAGATGAAGCTAATTGAAAAATTATTCTTGAGCTTTTACTATCAAGTCATCAAAACTCTCAGTAACAGGACATCAAAGCTTAACGTTATGAAGCTTTCATGGAGTATGTGATAAGTGAAATACTTACAAGACAAGTACCTTCTGTTCAGTCTCTTCACTTTGTCACTCAGCCATATCCATATTTTCCAGTTAGCCTGCCTTATAAGTAACTATTAACGCAAAGCGTGTCAAGAATATGAATAAGAAGGAATAAGAAAACACAGGCTGGGAACTCATGCTTGATAAAAAGCAAAATATATTCTTTCTATATTTATCACATAATGTCAAAAACTGTGTGTCGTATGACTGTAACTAACTGGTTTAATGCAAGAAAGTTTAACTTAAAACAAACAAAATGCATTATTCTATAGTAATAATTACCAAGACCAGCCAGCTAGATCCTTTTCTTTGCATGGAATGCATGACACAGGATGACCTGCATTCATGATAAAGAAACTAGAGAAGAACCCTTATTTTTTTCCTTACACCAAGTCTGGTGTATCCATTCCCTACTACAGTTCTACTTCTTTACCACTGAAGATTAGCAACAGCCTGTTAGACCAAATATAGAAGGACAACTCTCCTTCCTCACTGCAAAAAAGAGATGAAAGCAATTGAGTTAAGGAAAATTTTCAACTACTGCAACTGCAACTAAAGAGACTTCCCCACCCCTCTGTTGTGTGAAAGACCCACACAATTAACAGGATAGACTACATGAGTCACATACTTAAATGCAGGAAACTGGTAAAATGAATATATACAAAACAGTTGTCAAGCACAAAGCAAACTCAGAAGAAAAAAAATCAGAGGAAAAAAAATATTTTCATAAATCTTTCAATAAAAACAAATACTGAAAGTTACTTACAGCTGTGGGTGAGACCGTTTAAGAAATAAAATTAAGGCAATGTATTTGTTCTACACTTTTCAGTGGGAAAGCACTGGCTGGAACACAGAACACAGTATCTCCAATAAAGAACAAAACCCAAGAACGAGCTCTAGAACAGAAACCTCTAAGACACAGAAGATTTTCACTACAGTTCAACAGACCTCCTAGTATTTAAGAACCAAAGTCTCTAATATCCCTCCTCTAGAGGTTTTCTCCTCCTCTCCAAAGGACCTGAAGTTCTTCAATACTTTTGCTTGGTTTTATATTTCCCTCCTCAAACTCTTTTATTTTACTGTATAAATGAAGCTGATTTACAGCATCCTGAAAAAAATGGTCTCACCATGCTTTATTTATTGGCATTTATAAAGCCTCCTGGAAGAGAAACACATGCATATTAAGTTCTCTATCACTGAAGAAAAAAAATTACACCGAAGTTAAGATCTGCTTAGTTAGTGTATTCCATTTGTAATATGTAACATACATGATTTTTTAAAGCATTTATTTGTGCTTTGACTCACCCAAAGGCAATTTTATTCTGAAGCAATTGAGCATCTTCAAATAAATATTACTACAAGAACAAGGAAGACTGCATAGAAGACATCCAATATCAGTTTTCTTTATATTTGCTATAGAAAAAATATTACCTAGTCCAGTCCAGTAGTTTAAATAAAGATGTACATCTGAGGTACCAAACTGAAATGTTTCCAGAAGAGGTAATTTTAAATTCTCATTTCACTTATTACATAATGCAGAACTTACTTTGGTACACTATCTGTGGATGCCATTCTGTCAGAAGTCAGACTGCCAATAGACCCTGTCTATTAAAGGAGTAAAAAATGTAAAATAAAAATCCAATATGGTCACTGGAGATAAGGGACTCAAGTTCTCAAGGTAAGTACAGTAATTAAAATAAACTTTGCTAGATTTCAAGGCAACAAAAGACATTCACTGCTTGACCTCTACATAAATAAATGCAAAGATTTCTTGCATTATTTTGGTTGATTCTGTACAAGTTTCTTTGATTAATTTTATTTAAATATAACTCTTACAATTTAATCCAGGATCTTAATGAAAATGAGAAGCAAAGGTTGACAGTTCTAATATAGAACCTGCACAACAGTTATCTTTCAACACTGACTAAACAATGGCATATAGAAAAAGGTTTAGAAATTACACACTTTAAAATGAAGATGTTTTATCTTGATTAACTGTTGTTACAAGATGAATTTTTCCCTTTAGTATGCAACATCATTCCTTACTTGCCAACAATGTGTACAAATTATCGCAGCAAAATTTACAGAAAAATTGACTTTGGTCTCGGTCTTACAAAGACCTATTTACATATTTGGGATAAGTAAGCATGTTCTTCCCTTTAAATTCTGTACATATATTAAAGCTTTAAGCCTATATTTGAATCTACAAAATACAGCAAGATAAAAAGTTTGTCAAATATACATCTTAGACCAGTACAATATAGCATCTTTACATACAGGAACTTATCTTTTGCTCAGTTATCCACTCTTCATCACATGTGCACCTCTAAAAAATGGAGCACTCCCACAGTTAACTCCTTGGTGCTGATGGGTTTGACTGCTGAAAGCAATTGTTAGGTGGGGGAAAAAGAATCAAATCCATGTGCAAAAGATTGATATGCCCCAAATTGCCCCCCAAAATGAATAATCCTGTAAATAAAGAGATACATGTCTTAATACAACTAAGCATAATGAATTCCCTTTGGGAAAAGTACAGCTGCTCAATAATCACACTCCTATTTACTCAATTTTTTACTCTTCAGAGTTTATATCATTAATTCAACACCTCAAGTAAGTTCAATTTTGGCTAAGTGTTTCTATTAATTTATTTTTAAATTTTGGTTCTTGAAGTTCTGCTGCCAACGGCAGGTCATTTTCATGGAAAAAAGGACCTCAACACCAAAGAATTAATGCTGTATATGCATAACTGAAAGGACTCAAGAGTAAAACTAGTGTTTAGAAGTTCTTCCAACTGTCCTGTGACAATCTAGCAACAAAATCTAACCTATGTCCCAAATGAATACTTGCTACAAAGAAGGCAACTCTGCATGCAACCATTCAAATTTACATTAGTTTGTAATTAAAAGAAAAACAAGATACAATTGCAAACAAGTATACAACTTTATACAGAAGGCCTCACTGTGGTAAATTATATATAGCATAGTGTTCTCATTTTCCTTAAAGTGCTATCAACATCATATTGGTTTCAGGTCATCTATTGTTTTAGGAGGTCTTTTAGTACAGCACCAGCACTGGCATCAGGGGACACTGGCAGTGGTGTAAAAGTAGGCAAAGCATCTGAAATAGGTTTCATAAGTAGATGCCCAGAAGTAGAAGCAGGTGTTATGAGAGGCACTGCTGCAGATCGAGGTGCTAGAAATGGATTTGTATCTGGTCTTCTGCTGCTTCCTGAGACTCCAGAATCTGAAAGATAAAACAAACAAAAAGCTCCACTTTGTTGGAAAGTTTTGATAAGCCTATCCAATTTTTGAGCATTTGCCCTAAAACAAATTTTACAACTACGTATTACTTTTGCAATATGAAAATTCCATCTGCTTGCCATGGACTACAGGTACTCTCATAGGCTTATTTCTATCTTCTCTCATCTTGGATGTTACCTGCCCCATTGCTTCTTTTGTTCAACAATTGCTGTGTCTACACTAAAAGCCACCAGTTAAAAATCACAGCACTTCCAGAACATGCCCAACCATACTGTGCTTGTTGGCATGAGTAGAAACTCATGATATGCAATAAAATCTACACATTTTTATGACAAAGAACACAAACATCCTATGCAAAGTTTCACTTCACCCATGCAATCAAACACAAAGTATCTGTCACACTGACTCCAGCACTATGCCAAGACATAAGGGTCCATACATATGCACTATCACACAGCACTCAGGTAAGGCTTCCTACCCTATGCTGTATTGGGGCAGCTGCCGCAAGGTCAGTTTCACGAAAACTCATGTAAATAAAGATCGTGGACAGTGAGTCACAACTGATTCTTGAGTCCTCAATGTTAGCACACTGGTCAAATTATTTAAAAAAAAAAGTATTTGTAGTGAATAAATTTGTTCTCAGCATAATTTCAAATTTTCTTTAATTGTTACCTGGTATTTGACTGCTGCTTGGAGTACTGCTAGTTTTACCAGTTCCTGCTGCTCCTAAAGGTTTCATATCATGAACAGAAAGCTTGGGTGGAGGAAGGCTTGGGCAAGACTCTGTTTCAAGGAATTTCACAAACAGTTCTGAAAAAGACTACAAAAAACTACTAGTTATTAAATTTTATATGCTTTTCAAAGGAGCATCAATAAGTTAAAAATAAATACCTTTTTTTTTTTTAAAATGCAGCTGTCAGCAAGCTCTGAAGAACTCTGTACTGGTACTTAAATGTTCTACTTAATGAGTAACAATGTAATTTATTTTCAAAACAAAATTTTTGGCTCAGTGAGCAACATTTATGTAAAACTGATGAACTTTAAAGATAACACATACACTTTCACCATGGTTCCATTATTAATTCTAGCAAATAGTTTCAAGAAGCCTATGCTGCTACTGACATCACAAGTACTTGCTGCCTGCATTATTTCAGTGGGCAAAATAAATAAATAAGTAAATAAAAATCCCTAAGCTTCAAGATAATATAAAGGAGTTATTTCTCAACAAAACTGTCAAACTCAAAGAACAACAACAAAAAAAGAAGTTAATCCAATCTGCTCAATCTCTCAATGCTTAATCTTGAGTCCATTATTTAGTGGTCTGCAAAATGGAAAGTTCCACAGATTAACTGCTCCCATGGACCACATCATGAAAACTCTTGCTTCACAGTATTTGGAAGCTTAAACTATCAACTTTATATGCTGTACATAAGAGACACTAACTGCAGCAGCTGAGAAAGATTTACAAGTAAAATTTAAAGGACAAATGGGAAACATTGTCATGAAAATATGGTATTATGGCCTTTTTTTTGTATTGCAGACTTTCAGACTCCCACATGTATTTAACCTCTGACACTGTCAGTTTGCAGTATCAAGTCCATACTGAAATAAGTCAGCGGTCCCAGGAGCCGTGGAACAGTAAGTAGTTTTGTATTAGCCCAACACTTACAATTATGCAATTGTCTTTTCAATACCTATACATCTATCTAGTTAGAAGGGAACAACACGTCCCAAAAACAAAATACGCCAGAGCAGCTGCACAGAACATATAAATAATGTAAGATAAATTAGAATCGAAAAATTGAGCTCAATATACTTATGAATCAAACATAAACACTAATATGCAACTGCTCCAGTTCTTCCATTCAAAATACATGATTCTTACACTATTAAAACCAGTCTGATGAGTTGGTCGTAAAGGTGTGCTCGGGACACTCTTTGATCCTGTTCCTCCACCAAGCCAGCCCGTCACCCATCTTGTAACTCCTCTCTGGTCTTCAGAGAGTAACTAGAAGGTTTAAAAAAAAGTTAGGAAGCAAAATAAAGCAGCAGATGAAAAACCTGCACCACTGTGCTCACTGTATCACAATAAATCACGTGGGAATTCCATGGAATCCTACAGGTAACCTTAATTGCTACAAAAACCTTATTCTTCCCCTCCTGAAAACTGGCAGTCTAAAATCCTACCTCTTTGCTTAAAAATATAAAAGGCACATTCTTCCATTACCTAGTGGTACCTATAAAGTTAGATGATTTTTCTTTCACTGACATATTAGAGCTACTATATACAGCAGTACAAACAATAGAAAGTTAAATCCTTTCTTTTCTGCATTTGCACTCCTCAGGAAGATCAAATCTAGTGTACCAACTAAAGTTATCATAAGATTTCATTAAGATTAGCATGTTCCACATAAAAAATTAATTCAGGTAAGAACAAAAAGCAAACATTCCATCCCCCAACTAGAAGTGCCAGGACAATCACATTTAGTTTAGCATCAAGTCATTCTATTTTCAGGTAATGATACTGCAAATGAATTAGAATCAGAATTACCTGATCAAGTTCCTCTTTTTTCATACCCAAGATACTTCCCATCAACCTTAACACTTCGTTACGTTTATTTTTTGGAGTATGAAAATGTCCAATGAAGAGATTCCTCATCAGGAGCCTGCAGAACAAAGGCTGTTATACTGTCTGCTCCTAGATAACAGGTGACAGGGAAATTCTAATGCATTTATTCCTTATACTTTTGCCTAATTGACAATAACCCAAATAAACAATCCAGTAAAGGAACTAAAAGGGAATGTAATGAATTTCCTTCCCCTCTAAGTTAAAACATTTCTTAAACAATGAGCTGTGATTTGGACAGTACTGTAAGTATTGTATGCAGTAACATGAAACTGAATTGTATGTTACCAACTTTTGACGCAAGTGACACAGTGCAGGAAAATATTATTCCCAGATCTTGACTCAAGAGAAGCTTTAAAGAAATGAGCAGAGGAACCCATTTGCCTATCCTGGTTTCAGTTCTAACACAGAGAGAGAGAAGATGATGACGACTAAGGAAGAGATCAAACCCGAACAGCAGCCAGGTGATGCCATTCAAACCTTAGATGCATTAGAAAAAATGATCAGTAAGAACTTTTCTCCCCATTTTCATAACTCACGCTCATGAAGTGTAATATTACTTAAAAATATAATCCAAATTTTGATACACATTGGTTTTAATCAATTCTAACATTTACAATCACCAATTGAGAAATGTCAAAATAATCAAAGTATAATTTCAAGATTACATAGAGAAGCTCAGTTCTGCACTACTCTGTCAACTATTAGTATCACATCTGTTCACTGGAAAGAAGAATAAAGAACAAAAACGTACACCAATATAATTACTTACTTGTCCACTTTTCCTTCTGTGCTGTTGATGAGATTCATCAGTTTATTTTGTACATCTTCTAACATTTCTCTTCTGATCTCACCTATAAAACGTTATGTCGAAGCAAATAAAAATCCCAGACTTTGTTTCAACGTGTTATTGATAATACATGTCTTTTAAAATAAAGACAAGCTAATATATATATTTATTTAGAACAATTCCTTATAAAAAGTGTCAACTTAGTGATTATTACTTGAATTCATAAGCTAGAATTTTCAGAACAATACTTAAAGTACAGAAACACAGGATGTCAATCAATTGCTGAAGATCTGATGAACTGCTCAGTTCCATCTGGATTGTACAGAACTGGAAAGAAGTTCTTTATCATGTTGTCATCACGTCTTTGGATCTCAATATTTAAATATATTCACTCTCATCCAATAATTACATACCATGGATTTTGCTACAATTCTAAAATTTCAGAAACGCAAATTATTTGTTAATTTAAATTTAGAATATACCTGATTACCCCCCTCCTGTGCCAGGAACTCTGGCTTACTCTGACCTCTCACAAAGTAAAGCTCACCGCCATAAAGAAAAAGAATTTCCAGAAGGTTTTACCAGCTAAAATATTTTACAGCATCCTGACTAAGGATACAACGATACCGTGACAAAAAAACTCACATCCCCAAACACATGTCTTACCAACACTAACAAAGTGTTTTCTGAGAAGAAAACAAACAGCTGCAAGATACAAAAAATTCACTGAAGGTAAGTTTAAGAACAGCAAAAAAAGAATCTGTCACCAAACTCTGGTTCTGTGAGATGCTATCTGTAAGTTTACTTTTTTCCTAATAAAAACACAAGTCTTAACAGCACACGCAAGCCAAACAACATAATATAGATCCTCAACATAAAGACAATTGCTACTCTCAAGTTACAGAAGAGATGAGTTTTTTCTCCCCTCTCTCTGTAAGGCTGAATTCTTCAGATGTTTTCAAACTCTATGGAAAAACTCCCAACTAACATAAACTTCCTCTTATTTTAATATTTCTTGAGCTCATGTTGATTAATATATATATATATATATATATATATCGTAAATATTTGTAGGAATGACTGGATATCTTGAAATTATTTGAAATAATCACATTTTTCTTGAGAGAAGATAAAAATGAGGGAAGAAGAAAAAGTGACTTGTAGGAAGTTTTATAATTTCCAAATCATTTGAGATGCATGAAAATTCTCCATTCTGGTTTTCATGTGACTTCCAGTCTTTAGTAAATGCATGTCACTCCATGGTTCTCTAGTTAACAGCAGTATCTCCCTGAGAACCTGTGTGAGTTTCGGTGCATCTACACAGAGAGCTAGGCTGTGAAATGTGTCCTGTTCAAATACTCCACAACTTTTCATAAACACTTCACAAATATGAATTTTGGAAGGTAAGAGTAGAACAAACTAATTAACGTCATGTTAATTAGTTAAAATTATGCTTCTTTGCAAGTGTGGTTAAACAGGACCCCCAAATTTGAATGAAACTGCAGGTGCGTCATGGAAGCTGAGTGGTTATTTAGGTCTCCACAGAATAAAAGAGAATTTAAAAATGTTAAATTACTAATTTTGATTAAAAAAAGAGAAATGACATCTGAAAATAAGGTTTAAGTACGTTTCAAGATGTTGCTTTTGCTCTACATGGTAAGATAACAGCAAGCTTCCTTTTTATTTTTTTAAAACAAACCAATTAATAGTTTTTGAAGTGAAATGCTACTTCTGTTTTCTATTTTTTCCTGAGAAAATTTTTATATCAGAGGATCAACTTTTAAGAACAGCTACATGGCTACGTTCATTCACAGTGATTACAGCTCTACCCTTGGACATGTTTTTAAATGGAATATTTCCTTCTAAAATGGAACCTTACAGTTGAAAAGGACTTAAGTGTGTACTCTGTGTGTACGAAAAGACTGAATAACAAAAAAGACCTGAGCCAAAATTTAGCACGGACTGCTGTAAACCAGACATTTACAGCAGTCTCTAATAATTTGTTAACCATTTATGGCAATCCCAAAAACTGCATCTGGTACATCTTATACTTTTCCATTAAAATCACTTCTCCTGCCAAAAAAAATCCATAAAGAAATCTGTCAAAGGATTTGGCTAACAAAACCATGTCTGGGAATGTATTTGGCTAGTTTTCAATAAGACATTATATGTTTTCTTGTATAAACAGAAAAAATGGAATGGTCTCCTTTTCAATAAAAATTATGATTTATTCTATAACAACATTGAAGTGCTTCTTCCTTTATAAAACAATTTCTTTTCAATTTTTAACAAGTAAATTGCTTGCCACTACAACACAGCTTGATAAAACACTGAGACCCAGTTTTCTCTCACAGTTCAAATCCATTAACACATTAGCCCTTCTGCTTTCAGGAAGCTTAGCTATCAAAATTAACCAGTAGCATGAGAGCTCTCCAAATAATAGTGCCAAATTTGCCTATGTCAAAGTTATTTTCAATCCAGGGTCTTTGAACATTTCCCCTGTGATGTCTCTTGTAAAAGAGAGAGAATAAAGAACAGCCAATTAAAAAAAAATCTACTGAATTAGTAGTAGATTGATGCAGAGTGAAACTTCATTCAGTTTGTAAAGTTCATCTGTGAACTCAAAACAACGCTATGGTGCCCACTGGGATGACAAACTGCATAATGCAATAATGCATAGTTATGAAAAAGTTGCAGCTTTTTTGAGTTCCTTCTGAAATTGCAAGGGCTTTAAAAGTACTATTCACACCAATTGTAAGATCACAAGCAAGTCTACTTTAAGAAAATATTATATATTCCAAGAGGAAAACAAATCACAATTTAAGAATGAATAGCAAAAATTAGTTCAATATGGACAGAGCTATAAGAGTTACCATTGCATCCAGCAGAGATGATTCTGCAAGCACCTTCGTATAGCAAGCCTTAACTAAAAGTCTTCACCCCAGATTTCCCACAGATATTGAAGGGGAAAAAAAAAACAAAAAGTAAGAGACTGCAGAATGTGAGCAAGTCTCTGGCCTTCAAACTCTCCTTTGAGAGCCTCCTTTGTGGAGCAATCAGAAATTCTCCTCTTGCTGCATATTTATCCCACGTATACACCTGAAAGTCAGACTGTAACAAAGGATGCTGCGGCAACAGCAAAATATGGTAACCCACAGTAAAAGAAGGAAAGAAAAAAGCAGAACTCAGGTGGAAAACTGAAGAGGAAAAGACAAATAACACAAATAAGAGTGATTGAAGAAAAAGATGTTAATACTCCCTCAATAGTTGGTACTGTTAAACACTCATGGGAGAACTTTCACACAGCTAGGCAGACCACTTTCCCTTGTGGCTCAAGGAAACACTGAAGAAAAAATTACATGCCAGAGCTGAGATTGAAGGACAGAAATCCAACAAAATTACTATTAGTTCTAAGTTCTGCTTTACCTAATGATACAACTCCTTTCTCATGAAAGCTGATATTAATGAAGAAAAAACACCACAGTGATCTTATGTTATTCATATAGCTATTGCATCATCTCTCATCGAGCCTGAGCTTGTAAAATCTTACTGATGTCTTGCATTCAAATACATTATACACAAATCACTTAGTTTTTTCTATTTGATTAAAGTTTGAGACCACAAAGCAGAAATTCATTAAAATGGTACTAGTTTTTCCCACAAGGTATTCTGCCTGTTATAGGCTTTCCTATACAGCTTTAATGCTAAAAGTGCTTACAAAGAGACAGCTATGTACCCATCACAGCTTTTACATTCCAGTGATGTCACTGAGAGGAAAATACCCATCTCCAAGCCATTCACAGACACAGAATCATTTACGTTGGAAGGGACTTGCTCAGGTTACCCAGTCCAACCCCCCCCTAGTTCAAGAAGGCTCAGCTAGAGCAGGCTGTCCTGAACTGCGTGCAAATGGGTTTTGAGCACATCCATGGATGGAGGCACCTCTCTGAGCAAACTATTCTTTTGACCACCCTCAGCGTAAATACTCTTCCTCTCCAGGCAAACTCTTTTTACCATTTAGCCAATTTTTGTCTTCAAATCCAAATTAACAAAGTTTGTAAAATGTCAAAGTATTTAATCAGAGAACAGTAAATGAAAAGCATCTTTCTAAACATGAGCAATCCAGAAGCTCATCTGGAAAAATTAAAAAAAAAAAAAAAAAAAAAAAAATTAAGCTAAAGATGTACATAAGGCCTTCCACATAATCACTCATCTTATACTTGTGCAAGAGCTGTTCCCTCTACGTCTCTTACCAGTAGCATATCCTTTACCTCACAGTAACTTTGTCTATGTGAAATATGGTAGTTAATTTGAAAAAAATGTGACAGCATCTGATATTTCACAAACTTTTTAAGAGATACAGAACTAAAGCTGATTCAAGGGCATTGGTATCTAAAGAAGAAAAAAAAAGAATAACTTGAAGGCATTTCTTAGAGAAAGACACCTATCAGAAGGTACACGTACTTTAGAAATGTTTAATTGGTGAAAAATATGTTACCTTCTCTTCTAAGCTCTTCAATCTGCTCCTCTTTAACATCAAGTTGCTCAGTAAGCCTTGACGCTGCATCCAGCGCAGCATTCGCCTCTTCTAAATTTTCCTAAAGAGAGAGCAGGAAAAGGACAAAAAGGGAAGCGCAGGAGTTCACTTACAATTATGCTAATGCAACACAGATCAAACATAGCAAACATTTGTACTTTATAATAACTTGGTTGGAAACATTCCCAGAAGAATGCATGCTATCTTGCTGGCCTTTCGGTCCCAGCCTGGCCCCATCCCTGATTTGTAGTAGAATTATCTAACTTGATCTAGAATCATAGAATCCTTAGAGTTGGAAGGGACCTCTGAAGGCCATCTAGTCCAAGTCCCCCGCAATGAACAGGAACACAATAGCTAGATCAGGTTGCTCAGAGCCCAATCCAGCCTCCAGCCTCACCTAGAAAGTTTCCAGGGATGATGCATCAACCACACCACTGGGCAATCCATTCCAGTGCTTCACCACCCTTAATGTAAAAATGTTTTTCCTTATATCTAACCTAAATCTACTCTCTTTGAGATTGAAACCATTTCCCCTTGTTCTATCACCACTGACCCTGCTAAAGAGTCTGCCCCCTTCTTTCCTGTAGCTCCCCTTTAGATACTGAAAGGCTGCTATCAGGTCACCTTGCAGCCTTCTCTTCTCCAGACTGAAGAGTCGCAGCTCTCTCAATCTGTACTTATACAGGCTGCTCCTATACAGTAACAGACAATTAACATTTTACACAGCAGTTAAAGAAAAAAAAAAAAAATCTATCAGTAATTAGCACGGAACTTCATTGGATTCAACTTCATTATTCAGTCTACCTGTAGTGATGCAACTTTTTCTTCTAAGTTTTGGGCTTTTTTTTTCCATTCTGCAGTCTCTTTTTGGTGTTTTTCCAGCTCCGCTGAATACATGGCTTTTTCTTCTAATGAGTTAGAAATACAAAAAGAAAAAAATTCTCTATTCAGATACATAATTCTCTTTTTTGAGATACACAATTGCAAAATCTCAGCATTATCACATCTGGCATTCGTGAGGTAGAATTCTAATTTCATAAGTAATATAATGGCCACCAGTTTCCACATCTCTTACAAGATGAAAGATTTTAAAATTCAAGCTATCAAAATGAAAATCAAGTAAACTATGTATTTCAAAAGCACCAAAATATGGTAAGTATCAAAATATGGTAAGAATGCCTGTTGTGACTGATATTTCTCAACAAAACTCACCCTGTTGGAATTGCTCTAGTACCATCTGCAGGTTGGTCAGTGACAATGCATACTGTTTCACTTGGTCCTGTGAGATGGCAAGCTGTAGCACTGCTTCATCTCTCTGCTTGGAAATCAGGTTTAATTGCTCTTGCAAGGATTCAACCTGCAGATTAGCCTGATGACTTAAATGAGCATGAAATAAATTATTTAAGACAATGAAAAAAATCATCACAGAGAAAATTAAACTACAACAAAATGAAGACATTCTCTCCACATCCTCTGAGTTCCTCTTAAAAACCAACAAAAAAAATCTCCTAACAACACATTTTAAATAAGTCTGCTAATAACATTTTTGCAATCCAAGAACTTTTGTTTGAAGTGCCCTGCTTCAATTACTAAATGAATCAACAAGTCTTTCTACCAACTTTTACTATTAAAGGCAATCACCAATAACTTGGTATAGCCAGCTCCATACTGACCACTGAGTATCCATTTAATTTCCCATTATACAGAAATATTACGAACCTGATAACACAGGCACCTACTAACATAGGTTCATATCAGGTACAAAAATAGGCTGCATTTCTTGAAATACATTTGACATGTTCCTGCAATGAATTAAAAAAATATTCTACCAGTTTTTACATAGCCTTCTCTCAACTCTTCAAATTTCTGCACTGGTTTCCACAACAAATTTTGCTCAACTCAGAAATCTCCTTGCTAGAACTTTATGAGCAAACTTCATCTTTGGCACTTAAGGAAGTAGAAAAGACTGCAGCTACATATATATTTTTTGATTAATATACTTGTTCTTCTGGGCAACAGCAGTGAAATGAAATCTTTTGCTTGAAGTAACAAACATGCCTATATTAAAGACAAGCCTTGAGTAATTTTAATACTAATAATATTAATAAATAATAATATTTTAAAAATATATAAATGCTTACAGCACTGTACACCCTTCTATGCTAACGTATGAAGATGTGCACTCATCTTGAAAATAATGACAGTATCACAAGCACACCTGTTTTGAACTGTATTCTTTCCAAGTGAATGAAACCTTGATTTTAAAGGCAATTAAGAATCTTTCATCCTTCCACATGCAATTAAATTGATGGGTTGAGGAATTGTCTTTGTTTCCAGTTCTAATCAGTCAAAGATCTGAGATATTTATAGCTGCTACAAAAAGGACAAAATTTAGTTCATTACAGTTGTCAAGGTTATTTCATATTGCCTCTCTGATTCAGGATAACACTAAAAACCATTCATATGTTTTTTTTGTTTTCTTGAGCATCTAGCACACTTTAGAATGGTAATTCAATAAAATGAAGTCATCAGTATCCTCCAGCTAAGTGTAATATTCACAGACAATGGCATTGCTGGAAAAATGACAAGATTACCTGGCATTCTCCACTGCAGTAGATGAAGACACAAGTTTTTCTTCCAAAATTGAAACTTTTTTTCTTAGTTTGGTCTCTCTGTCTTCTGCAGCTAAGGCTTCTCGTGTATAGGAGTCCTCCATTTCTATAAGGTGGTTACGCAGCCTCTCCAGTTCCTGATTTAGACGCTGCTCTTTCTCATGCAAATGCTGTATCTGTGTAGAACACACCTTAAGTTGCTTGTATTATCAGCTTTCATAGAGGAAAGTAAGCAAAGAAAATGTACTTTGAAGCATATTGCTTGTGTAATGATTTTGAGTGCTTTTACAAGTTATTACCAACAAAAATTATGCAGAAAATATTATAGATGCAATTTCTTATTCTTTATTTCTTGCAACTGTAAGTTATGTGGTGGCATACCTCACTCTGTAGGGCACTGCTCTCCATTTGCTTCTGTTTGAGCGCTACCATAACTTGGTCTCTCTCTTGCTGAAAAGTAGCAGCCTTTTCCTGCATTGATTTAACCTCATTTAGCAGTTGATTCAATTCCCCTGTTTTGCCCTGTGGAAGTCATAAAAAAGCATTTCAAACACAGCAGTTATACTAAAGGAAACGTAGCCTTGGTAAATGTAAAGACAGTACTAACATAACAAGAAAATGGGCAAGACACACGTGGCCCTTCAGCACAGGAACACATTCAGGGAAAACATTATTCTGAAGTTTTTCCACTCATCACTAAAAGATGAAATACAAGTTATTCTTAAAGGACACTACACAGTCACTGTTTTAATTAACTGCTGTGAGTACATTCTCCTTTAAAGAAACTTTGTTTCTTTAAAAAAGATTCTCACTCAAATTACTTCCACAGTAATTAATAAGCTACTGCAACCTTTCTCTGAAAATACACCGAGAGAAAAGCCATATGTCAAATTGGGAGGAGAAACCATTTCTTTCTTTTTTTTCAGTGAAGCTTCTCCAGCTATAAAAAGATGTGTAAACTCATATATCTCCTAGAGATGCTGTGAAGCAACCGCACTGGAGTGACTGATACTTGAGGAAAGAACATTGAGAAATTAGTCCTCCTTGCCACCTCTGCAAATTTTATAAAACAAAAACAACATAGGGTAGTAAATGCAGAATAGGCAAAACCAAAATACTGAGCAGCTCTTCATTAAGTATTTTCCAAATGAATGAAAAATGTGGTTTACGGATATAAAATTAACAGATAAAATTGTAAGCCACTCATCCATTGATTTTTTATTTTTTACTCTGTAATGCGATGTGGTAAGGAGTCACCAATTTCAGGCAAACACATGATATATACATGAAAATACATTACCATGAGACTTATTTCAAAAGATAATAAACATGAACATACATACCTGTTCTTTCTCTTTCAATAGCTTCTCAAAAGCGAGAGCTTTTTCCTTCATTGAGTGGGACTCAAACTCTTTCTCTTTCAGCATCATGGAAAATTGCATATTAGTTTCCTGAAGTGCTCGGAATTCTGTTTCTTTTTCTCTACATCTTACAACTATTTTTTCATTTTCTTCTTTCAGTTTTCGAATGTCCATTTCTAATATTAAATTCCTTTCTTTGAGATTAGTCACAGCTTGTTTTAAAAGCTCATTTTCATTTACTTTGTTACTAAGATTTTCACTCACAGAAAGTAACTGATCACTTTTTGATTTAATCAGTATATCTTTTTCTCTAAGAGATTTCTGTAAGACATCATGTTTTTCTCTGATCTGCCTCATCTCTGAATCAGTCTCTTCTTGACTCCTTCTTTCAAACTCTGACGCTGTAGCCACAGAATCGGATAATCGTTGATTGTTCTCCTGAAGAGTCCTAATAGTTGAATCTTTTTCTTGCAGCTTTTTTTTCAGTTGTTCCAATTCCTTCTGAAGGAGTTTAGATTCATCACTGAGTACTTCAGGAACACTGCTTTGCATGACTGAAGGCTGTGAAATGATGGAAGCCATTGTCACAGACGGTGTTACCAAATCAAGTTTACCCAGGAGAAGATCTTTGGTGTTATGAAGCTGTCCTATGGTGTGCTGAACTTGTGCTAATTCTTGACTAAAACTTCTTAGTTTTTTCTCATTTTGTTCATAACTCTGAATTAAGCCATTATAATCTACCTGCAATTTTGAATTACTATCACTTTCAACTAAAATCTGTGCTTGAAGCTTTTGTAGCTCTTCTTGGAGATGAGCTGACTCATGCTGCATGTTCTGAACTGTGGTTATTACCTGCTGCTTCCACTCTTCCATCTTCTTTACTTGCTGTTTTAATTTATCACGTTCTTGTAAAAGTTCCTCAAACTGGTTACTGTTAACACCACCTGAGCCATTATCAGTATCCGTACTGGATGTCTGCAAGACAGTCAATAAGGTTTGGCATTTCTGACTTAGAGCATCTATTTCAATATCTTTTTCTCGAATGATACGGGATAAATTTTGAATAGTTTCTCTAAACATATCTTGACTGCTATTTTCAAATCTATTCGATAATTTTTGATTCTCTTCTTGCAACCTTACCAAAGCTGCTTCTTTAGCGGCCACCATATCCATGATCTTATGATACTCTGTTTTTAACTGACTGTTCTCTCTCGTCTTTTCACTTAGAACTGCTAGTACTTGTTCTCTTTCCATGACATAAGCTTGTAGCTGCTGCTGAAGACCAAGGACATCCTGCCGATAGGAAGCTGAGGAAACTCTAGCACTGAGAGCTTGTATTTCTAAGTCTTTCTCTTGAATGATTCGAGTAAGTTTGCCAACTTCATCTTTAGACAACTGATCAATTTGTTGACTTAGAGAAACATTCTTTTCATTTAGAAGCTTAATCTCCATCTCCCTTTCCTTGATACCTTTTACTAGTCTTTCAATTTCAGCTTTAGATAAGTCATGTTTTTCATTTCCATTTTCTCCATTAAGTGTCTGAACTTTTGTTTCCTGAAAAAGATCAGTGGAATCAGTCTGAATAACCTGTCTCTCTTTGTGCAACTGAGTTTTAATTTGCTCAATTGTTTTCTGCAAATTTTTAATTTCCTCATCTTTCTCTAAAGAGAGTCTTTCATGTGTGACATTCATTTGTTCACACTGAAATTTAGACTCATCTATTTCCTTTCTTTGCTCCTGCAAGGACTGCTGAAGTTGCACTGTTTTTTGATTCTGATCTTCTATTGTTTTTTTGTGAACTTCTATTTCTTCTTCAAGATTATTCTTTATCACTTTTAATTGTGTCACTTCACTTTCAAGTTCAATAATAATATCTAGAGTTTTAGGCTCAACCACAGGTGTAGCTCGACTTTGCTGATCCTTAAGACGTTCAATTTCTTCTTTCAAATGATTGTTTTCTTCCTTCATGATAGCGAGACTTTTGTCTTTCTCCTCCAAATTCTGTTTTAAGACATCCTGCTTTCTTGAAACTTCCCTATATTCCTCGAGTTCCTCCTTCACCTGCGAGGCTTGATTTTTAAGTCTTTCAATAAATTCCTCCTTTTCTTTTATGAGTTCTGTCAACTGCTTTTGTCCCCCTAAGCTAGTAGTCAACATCTCTTTTGTTTCTTGATGGTCAGCTTCCATCTGCTCCATGCTCCTTTTGAGTTCTGCAATCTTAAAATCTTTCTCCTGATTGAGTTTAACTAGGCGCTCATGTTCAAGCTGCAATGCAGTGGTATCCATACTACGTGCATTTGATAGTTCCTCAATAGTTTGCTCATACTTGTGTGCTTGTTCAAAAAGTTGTTTTTCAGCCTGACTTAATTCTGATTCTAAATGCCTTTTTTCCAATTTCAAAGCTTCCACAACTGTGTCTTTCTCTAAGCAAACTTTATTCTTCTCAGAAATTGTATCATTTAACTCCTGTTTTAGTTCTTCAAAGGCTGCTATTAGCTTTCCATTTTCTGTTTTGAGATCAGACAGAGATTTCTCTAAGTCTTCATTTAGTTGCTTATTTTCCAGTTGTTTATTCTGTAGTTTTACAATTTCTACTTCTCTTTCTTTCAGAATCAGATCTTGACTACTGAGGCTAGATGCCTGATTAATATTTTCTGTTAACTTGCTCAAGGATAGAGAAAGTTCCTCTTCTCTTTCCTTCAGTCTTTGTTGCAATTCTTTAATTTCTTTTTTATTATGCAAGTTACAGTCCTGGGCCTTCTTCAACTGTTCCTGAAGGTTTCTAACATTATCTTGAAGTTGTTGCTTACTTATATGCAAATCATTAAGTGCATATGAACATTGACTTAGTTTTTCTTTCTGAGTATCTAACTCCTTAATAGTTTCCATCTTCTCCATTTCTAATTTTGCTACTTTCTTTCTTTCAACATCTATGTCAATTTTCAGCTGTTTGGTGATGCTATCAGTTTCTATGTGTTGTCTTGACAGCTTCTCTTTCAGCGTAATCATATGCTGAAATGAAGACAAACAAGAATTTGTCAGAAAAGGAGAATCAGTAGACCTATGTATTTGATTTTCATCCTCTGAACAGTTAAAAATTTGCCTGGAAACAAAAATACTTTCTACTTTAAAAAAATCGAGTTGACAAGTAGTATCAAGTAATCAATGCTAAATGACTAATTGTTATTTACACAGGAGAAGAGGCTGACTGTCCCCTCACTACAACCACCTTTCAGGCAGTTGTAGAAAACAGTAAGGTCTCCCCTGAGCCTCCTCTACTTCAGACTAAACAATCTCTGTTCCCTCAGCTGCTCCTCATAAGACTTGGGCTCCAGGCCCCTTTGCAGCTTCACTGCCCTTCCCTGGACACGTGCCAAGGCCTTGATGTGTTTCTTGTACAGAGAGGCCTAAAATTGAACACAGTTCTGAAGATGCAGCCCCTCAAACGATGACTGGCCTTAATGGTCAATACAACAAGACAGTGACATAAAAGTATAATTTTAATTTCATTATATATAACATGACTTTCTTTGCTCCACAAACATCCATATTATGAAGAAGTTGTGATACAGTAGATTAACTGTTCAGCAAAATTAAAAACAATGAAAGGAAGACAAAAAGTTTTTAAAAATCATTCATCTTAATTAAACTATCATAAGAAAGAATTAAAGTATTAATAGGATAAAAACCTCTGAACTACATATAAACAAAAATTATGTATTTATCTGGACTTTAGAAAGTAATATGCATTGTGGGCAGAAGACGTGTCATATTTCTTTGTCTGCAACAAGCAAGTTTCTTACACTTTAGGATTTCACATCAAGACGGTGAAACACTGGCCCCAATATCACCATTTGTTTATTTGCCCCAGGGATAACTTATCTACGTGCAAAGATCATCTTAAAAGATAAACACACACAAATATAAACATACATTTTTGAAATTCAACAAGTAATTCGAATGTTTGTTACCTGAGTAGCTTCTTGATTCTGCTTGTCTAGTTCTTCCAATTCGGCTATTAATGTTTCTCTTTCAGCAATACTTTCATTTAATTCATGTTCTTTCCTTTCCAAATCCTGCTTTAACTGTCTTAATTCTGAATTCTGATCCTCAGTATATGCAGAAGTAATATTCTCATCTTTACATTGTGCATTTAACAGTTCCTTCTCAAGTTCCTCCTTAACTCAAACAAACAAATCTACATATTAGACTTTCTTGACAAAATTTGTACTGTCCCACCATGAAATGCCTTCTTTTACTCAAAAATAAAAGCAGAGCATGCATTTTTATGTTAACATCTCAGAGTCTATATGAACATTATCCGAATTAGAAATTCTTTATTATGAAGTATTCATCTTTAACATTCATATATACACATTTTTTTTCATGATTACTTCTTTCACAATGCTCGTTAGTGTACTTTACAAACTTCTTCATTAAAAGTCATGGCCTGACAATCACAGTTATATCCACCACTGAGGTATGGATCCACAGCTGGGATAAACTATACATCTTTCAGAGACATTTTAAACATATAGAACGCACAACAAGAAAGGAGTCAAGGGCAATGAAAACATCCTTACAAAAACTGCTATGGGAAGTCTTTAATTGATGCAATATGCAAAAGATCCTACTTGAAAAAACTGCTGGATACAAAATACACTAAGTCATATCTCTCAAGTCTGAATTTATAAAGGACTTGCTGGAATGTTGCAAAAAAAAAAATTAAAAAGATACATTAACTTCATCAGTAAGATAAAATGTAATATTAGAGCACTACACGGAAGAAAAAGCTATTTTAGAACAGCATTGTCAAAACTATACTTAATATACCAATACTTACCGCTGTGTAGAAAAAAAATATGTAAACAACACAGATCAGAAATCTAACATACATACCTTCTCATTCCTAAGTTTAAGATTTTCTTCTTTAAGAACTTGGAGATCTAGTGTAAATGCCTGAACATCTTTTGCCATATGAACAGGACTGTCAGCCTACAAAAACAGTATTTAAATAGTGAAATACTTAAGGTAAGAATCCAGAGCATTTAAAAAGCATCACCTGTATTAACTCTTTACCAATAAATATCAGTGGAGGAACATGGAAACAAAAACAATTTATGGAAATATAAACAATGGAACATGGAAATAAAAACAATTTAGAACTACTTCCTTGACTACAAGGTTATTTATGCAAAGTGTGAATGCTGCAAAAATATATACTACTAAGAACATGTATTTTCCACAAGTTACTGTTGTTGCTGCTTTTTGTTAGCTTAATTCAGAAATTGCCTTACCTGATTTAAACTTGAGAGCCTTGCTATTTCTCTTTCTGCTTCTATAATGGAAAACAAAACATAGTTTTACTACTTTCAAAAAAACAAAAACCAATCCAAATCATCCTCCTACCTTGCCCAGCAGAACTCTACTGCTCAGAAGAAAATAGTTTCATAGCATCGTAATGAAATACTTTTTTTTTTTTTAAGGAATCAAATGCACACATTAGAAAGTAAAAGTACTCTTTTACAACTGAATCCACAACAGGCCAAATTTGATACCACATTGTATCACAGAAAAAGCGTACTTTTACAATAAAACTTGTATCCAGGCTTATTTCAAAAGAAAAAAAACTATTGAACAGTTGACACACATGATAACTACTGGTATCAGAAACCTCTACATTTATTATTCCAGGCCTAACTACATTCTCTGCTCTAATCTCAGTGAACAACCCTTATTTAAAGCAGCAGCTTTTAAAGGTACACAGCTGAACATTCAGTTTCAAATTCTTAAAATATAGTGGCCTCCCAGTGCCTAAAGGAGGCCTAATTGAAAGCTGGAGAGAGACTCATCAGAGAGAGTAGCAATAGAACGCGGGGGAATCATTTTAAACTAAAAGAGGGGAGATTTAGATCAGATGTTACAAGAGAATTTTTTAATATGACAGTGGTGAGGCAGAAGAACAGACTGCTCAGAGAAGCAGTGGGTGCCCCATCCCCGGTTAGATGGGGCCCTGGGCAGCCTGGTCTGGTAGGAGGTGTCCATGCTCAGGGCAAGAGGTTGGAACTAAATGACCTTTTAACATCCCTTCCAACATAAACCGCTCTTAAACCGCTCTATCATTCTATAAGAGTAAATTCTAAGCATTAAAATTGAAAATATGTGACAACATATTATTAAAAAACAAAAACAGTAAAATAAACCCACATCATCTTTGTACCTAACAGTGCTTGTTGCAGACTGACAACATCTTCTGGTAGTGGTGTCTTGGATTGAGACTTCTGTTCTTTCAGAAGAGCATCCTGCTCTGCAACAGAACTTTGAAGCATACTGAAGTCAGATTTTAGACTTTCAAGTTCCTGGGTTAGTTGGATTTTTTCTACCTTTAGCAGTTCTTGCTCTTTCAGAAGAATTTTGTTTTCTTCTTTGGTAGAAGATAACTTCTGATTTAATTTTCTTATTTCATCCTCTAGGTCCTTTATAATTTGCAAGTCTTCTGCTTTCCTTCCTTCTAGATTCTGAGCCATCTTTTCCTGTTCACTAATTTTAGAATCAACCATGGCATCAGTGCTTACACCATCTAAAAAGCAAAACAGACCGAGTTTGCAACCAAAGCCATGGTAGATCTTTTGTTTAAAAGTCTCTTTCATCCCTTCTCCTGACAGAGGGATAATCTAAAACAAAAACATGACAATCAACAGAAAATTAAAGTAAACAGAATTAATGTTTGAAGCACCGTCATGCATATGACTGATTTGATAAACAGTTTTTCAAATACTTGGATCTCCTTGGCTCTAAGTTTTAAAAACTGTTGCAAGACACACATTGTTGAAGATTTCATTAACACATCCTTGACCAGGAGGAATAGGAAAGATGAAAGAAGCCAATTTATCAGGACACAATTTGTCTGTTTTCTAAGATTAATTTATCAAAACCCATCCAATTCAGTCTGATGCAAAAAAACTGTTTATAATTTAATGTTGAAGAGTTGCTGAATGGCTGTCACAGAGTACAATACTTCGTATATGCAACATATTTTTGCTAATAAATCTTAATGACAGAATTAGATTTTGTCAGTTTATAAGTGGCTGCAGAAAGTATAAATTACTTGATAACCTCAGTTGCCAAACAGTGTGCCAAGTTTTTCACCTAAAGACTTCATTTTTGCAGAAATGTTTTTACAGACCCACCATATTAGTATTACATAGTTCTGCACAATCCTAATAAAGCCATTTCCACATAAGTTATAGAGTATAAAAAAGCAGAATAAAAAAATGCACAGAAGAAAAATGAAAACATACTGACTAACAACTCAAGTGTAAGCTCAGCTTTCCTCTCTCCCCAGTCCATATTACATTCTCAAACAGAACCAACCAAATATCAGATACACTCTAAAGTTATTTGAAAGCTGAGATCAGCATTTGTTTTACAGACAACTTGTAAAGAAAAGATGTGATTCCTGCTGTTAACTTTAATAAATGTGCCCTATTGGAATGTGTAAGTGCAGTGCACATAAAAGACATAACATTCTAAGAGGCATCTGATTTTGAGAAACAGATTACTGTGCTGCCTTAAAAGTTATGAGCCTGCAAAAATATTTTCTCTCTTTATTGATATTTCTTACCAAAAGCAGAACTTACAATCTTCAGAAGCCAGAGTTTTAACAAGTTAAACAAAGGCTTAGAAGCAGATCTTAGATACTTATGCAAAGTAGCTCCTAGAGGACATTCCCACTGACACAACTTCTTATGGAATATGAAGTACCTTAAAGATACAATGAAGGCTCCTTCTGATAACTATTGAGCTTCTTCTACATCCTATTCATGCCACAGACACACACGTGGTTCTTACGGCAACCTCAAAGTTTCAATTTAGAAACCCAAACAGTACATAGTACTTCTCACTATTTTTATGCTGAGATTTTCTAACCTTGCTATAATTCAGATGTTCAACCCAACACAGTGCATAAAAGAGGACATGTGCCTGCCTTAAACGTGAAACTGAATTAAAGTTGAAATTCAAATTCCTAAATGTGATCTACTCCTATTTATTACACTGTGAATAACGTAACACGCTTTAACCACAATTCACTACATATTAAATCAGAAAGGAATCTCAACAATAAGTATGCAGTAAAGACCTTGCTGTAACTGATTCTCAAGTTCTTCAATTCGCTCTTCATATTCACTCAGTTCTTCTCGATGTCGACGACTTATCTCTACTAACTTTTGTCTGTGTGCATCTTGCAACACCGAAAGTTCATGTTGATGTTCATCTATTTCTCGACTTAAGTTCTGTTTGAGCTCCTAAAAACATTGTTAGACAAACAGAATGGTAAAATACAGCACAGAGACTTAAGAAAGAACATAAAAGAAACAAAGTTTTTCCTTCATAAAATCAAAGGATTTATTAAAGGATTTCTCATATAAAAGGTCAAGTTTTTTTGTTAACATTTAAAAAGACATTACTTTGAATATATATATTTACACAGACAGTATGCTATACAAATTAAAAATATATAAAATATTTATATTTAATATTAGAATGAATAAAGATTACAACTGTTTCCAAACGAAGTGGTTATATATTTCTAATAACTTTCAGGAATTCATCTGGATTTGTATCATGCACCTTCAATGAAAAAAAGGGCAAGATGAGAAGGGAGAAAAAAAACCTTACTCTGCAGATCTAAATTAATTCTTAAGTCTACAACAGCTTTGAAGGTGATTTGCCCTCATAAATGCTGATGGCATTCTTTTAAGCTTAGGTGCTAAGTTTATCAAATTACAGAAACACCCCCACTTTCTCAGAATGCTAGGCTGTTTTGAAATCTAGCACAACATTTCATTCAATAGCACATACAATTACATTACATATCCAGGTACATTTAACTTTATTCATATCATGTGACAATATACAAAACCATGAAGAATAAAGTATAAGCTAGGACAAGTTTGTCAAAGTTGTCATCTTACCTTAATGATATTTTGCAGTTTGCATATTTCACTTTGTTCAGCATCATTTGCTCCTTGCACTTTGGAAGACTGAGAAAAGAAATATCACACCTCCAAGTGGAAATTGTGATAAATACATATATTTTTCAAATAATTGCTTCCTTTTTTTGGCAATCAAAGGTAGAAAACAACAAAGGTAACACGAAGCTTCTAATCTTCAAATTTAGAGTCATTTCCCTTGGAAGAAGGGTATTTTAATTTAAAAAAAAAAACAAAAACCTTCAATTCTCCATTGAGTTTTTTGTTTGTTTTTTTTTACATGCAAGTGTGTAACAGTTGGGAGGGGGGGGACATTATTGCACTTGTAAAGTAACAGGGTTGCCTAATTTTACTTCAGTATTTCCATATAAAGAAAGAAGTATCTCTGAAATTGGGCTACAGCTTGAGGAATGACAACTCATGTCAACAACAGCCTGAAAGGCTATATTCTTTCTTGTCTCAGCAATCATAAATTACAACTGACATATCAAGTACTGGCAGAAAAGTAGGTGAAAACAGAACGCAATATCACATTATCACTTTTGATAGTATTTTGTTGTCAGAAAGCAGTGTAGACTAGAACATCATTAAGCTACACCTCCCATCACATCATGTTATGAATTTTACAACATGAGCATTAAAGATCCATTCCAAAAATAGCCAATATGACGCAAACAGTATTTTGGAGGGGAGACAGAAGAGAAATCACTCACCTGTGCAATCTGCTTCCAGTGGTCAACCTCAGACTCAAGTCTAGAAACTTCATTGGACAATCTGTTTATTTCTTGTTGAGACCAGATTATATCCCCAAAATCCATGTCATCGCCTTCAAAACCTGAGGAATGTCTAACCACAGGAACAAAGGAGGCTGATGTAGTGGCTGGTTGTGAAACACCACCTCCTAACTGTGCTGACTGAGCAGCGGTCTGAAGTTTCTGCAACTGCTCCTGTAATGCATTCTGCCGAGCTTTTAGATGGCTGATTTCCACCTGAACATACAGAATATAAGGCACTGTTTCAGTAAGAATATCAAAATATGCTCTATTTGTACTTTTACAAAAGAACAATGAAATACAACTCCCTCCCAGCATAAAATAGTGGTCGTTTCCACTAGAAAGTAAAGGATAAAAATTTTAAACACTTCTGAATGAGAAAAGCAGTCATAGTTACGAAGTATCTCACACAAGACTCATACTAAAAGTGTTAATACTCTTCTGGTTAAGTATTTCTATATATACTCCAGTGGAAGTTTCTGCTGACTTTTCAGTACTGAGATACCTGTATACTTTCACTGTATTCAGACTAATAGGCTGCACCAAAAAAAGATTATTTCAAGAGTTAATTCAGATATGAAAATTAAACAATGTATCATCAAGTTACTGATTCAAGATAATGTGGTAACATTTATTTTATGCTGAACATTTCAGTGTATTGCAAATGTGCTTACTTACAACAAACTAAAATTAACTCCCTGCTATATTTACATAAGAATTCTATTATTATAGTTAAAGAGCAGAATATTATATATCTCAAAATTCTGTTTCATCTTGTTCCCCCATGCATTTACAAATAAAGCTGAAATAAAATTCATTTTGTATAATATTCTAGGCACATACTTGCACCCTTCTTCATTTACATGGCTGTGAAAGTCCATGTTACACAGTGGGTGATAAAACTGGAATGTTTATATCAAAGGGACACTTTCTCAAATTATGAAAGGTAGCTCTGTTTCCTTTAATTTTACACTTTAAGATAAACAACTGCAATATTCACAGACTATTTATCTGAGAGTTTGTTGCCATTGCACCTTCAGAAGATAACTGAACTAGAAATACAGAGCAGTTAGTGTATCATTTCTCAGTGATCACAGAAATTCTGAGACACAAATGACGTTCCCAGAGAACTTGCTCTTTTCTCTCTCAGCTGCTGGCAGCTCTGTTTATATTATGCGACTCAATTAAATTCATGTTTTAGTCAGTTTCTATATTCATGAACAACCAAACCATAACACTAATTCAGAACTGTGACTAATAGTTCACCTGAAAGGGCACAGATACTGTAACTAAACAAGGAAAGCAATACATTACATCATTTATTCTCTATCATACCTCTTTCTGTTGCAGCTGATTTCGGTACTCCACAGATAACTGTTTTATTTGAAGCTCTGCTGCTTCATGCTTTTCTTCTAAGTCACTACAAACTTTTTTCAGTCTCTCGTTCTAGGAAAAATGAGACACGGGTATCAGCAAATTCTGAACACAGAATCATAGAATTACTCAGGTTGGAAAAGACCTTAAAGATCATCGAGTCCAACCATTACCTAAACATACTACCCTAATTCTAACAGTCCTCTGCTAAATCATGTCCCTGAGTACGACATCCAAACACTTCTTATGGAACTAGAAAAATGTAAGTTTGATGAAGACTTAAAAAAAAAAAAAAAAAAAAAAAAACACCAAACGACAATCACCTAAACAGAACAGGTTTCTTGCATTATTTCACTCCAAAAACACAGTAACTATGATTTCCAAGTGTGGCCCCAAACTCAAGATCACACCCAATCTTTCCAGTTTTATATAGTGTGGTAGTTTGTGGCGACCAGAGGTAAAGGCCAAGAAGAAAAAATCAAAGCTGAGTTATATGTGGAACTTAAAAATAGCCACACAGCATAAATTGGGGCCAATATCCCTAACAGCCCAGTATTTCAACATTGGTCAACACCCTGTCACCAACCATCACGAAAAAGAAGCAGGAACTGTCATCTCTCCAAAACACTATCTAATTGTTCAGTGCTCTTGAAAGCAGATGACATACATGAAGATGGTTGGTTTACAGACATAAAGTCACAAGACCAACAAGTCCTTTGCAAAAATACAAGGTCACTTTCGGCAAGGGCATGCGGGATTGTAAGAAACACCAGAAGAGCAAAAGCATCTGTAGCTATGTCAAAAAGACCATGAAGTGGGGTGACGGAAGGAGAACTGCATCAGTTCAGCCAGACACCCACCCAACTTCAATGCCTGTAGCAAAAGACATGCTGTCACGCGTGGCTGGGCAATGCACATTTAGAGTCACATATACAAAACGCTATAAAACAATTAAGTCTTTGCCAGCCAAAATTTCACAAAATTTAACAAGGACTTTGCATTTGTAAGCTCTTTACAACCAGTCTACTGTCGCAGTGCAAGTCCCCAAATCAATAGGAACAGTTGCATGAAGCACTAGTTAGCACAAGATGAAAACATGCACCACATACATACCCCGATAAATTAATCTGCCCCCTAACCATGATGGCAGCTAGTCACCAAAGGAAAGAGGCACAATATAATACTACTGTTACTCTTGTTTCTAGATTTTCACAAAGCTGAACAACTCTGATGCAAAATGTCATCTTTACCAGAAACAATTTTTATTTATATTTTTAATTACAGTAATGTTCTGAAATTTCTTACTTCAGACTTCTGTGCTGCATTAATACTTTCTATTTCTCTGAGTCTGGAATTGGACACATGTAGCTCTGTTGCTGCATCTGAAAGAAAGTTGAGAATGTTCAGTTTTATTAACTTTTAAAATGCTGAGCAGACATTACTTAAAACCACAGTTATTACTAAGTATCTTTTCTTTATACTGCTTTAATATTTGTTTGCACTAAATATGAGAAGTTGCCATTATCAGAACACTGTTGTAATTATTTTTCAAGCCAGAATCCTTGTGGACTTAATCTAGTTCTCTCATATTGAGTCTTTAAGTCAAATCACAAAGCTAATGGAAAAGCATGAAATCAAGCTTTAAAATAAGTGTAACAACAGTTTTCACTGGGCTACGTGTCACTGAGTCAGTTTTTCATTTAGGACTTTGTTCCTGACATAACTGTTGCATGTGATTATTTCTCAATTTCATGTGAAGGTTCAGAACAAGGATTAATTCCCTAAAATACATGGTGGTGACTAAATTTAGTCAGGAAAACAAACAAAAACCAACAGCTAAAAAAACCCCACACAACAGAACACCAATCCTGTCCCTTATGTGAGGGGACACAAACCCTTTAAAACATTTACAAAGGCAATGCAGTTTGACCACACAAAAAAGTGCATTTTTCTCCCCTTGGATCTTCTTTCTTTAAAGATCGATTTTAATTAATAATAATCTATGCTTACTTCTCCCTTCTCCCAGATTTAGTGGGTATAAATAGAACACTTCCTTTTATTAACGAGGAATCACAATTAATGGGCTAGAATGCAACCTCCATATTTTTTCAAAACTTGAAATAAACACAAGCGTGCACCTAAATGCTGTATTTTATAGTTTCCTATACACTGACTAAAACCAATGTTGCTCAAGTGCTGCAGGGGCTGCAACTGAAGATTTTAGCATCTGTAATCCACCAACAGCATCACGAGTTAGGCCAGCAGTCAAAACAGTGAATAACATTAAAAGTCAGGGTAAGAAAACCATAGAATCATTAAGATTGGAAAGACCACTAAGATCATCTAGTCCAACCACCAGCCCATACCTGAGACTGCTCTAGACCCCATCACTCAGTGTGATATCCTGCACTTTTCTTGAACACCTCCAGGGATGGTCACACCTCCACCTCCTGGGGCAGCCTGTGCCAGTGCCTCACTGGAAGGAAAGGAACTGCCCTAAAAGCGTTCTTAAGGCCACGTGATACACGCAGGCCTTTAGGGATCAAAGCATTTAGGTGATTTTGGATTTTTACACCCCAGGTCAGTAAGCCTAAGATCCCATACAAATGCACTGCTCCAAAACTGGTAGCAACTAAAAGCTGTTCCCAGCAGTGCTAGCACTACTCAGGTACAACTGGAAGCAACTGCTGATCATCAGCTCACTCTCGCACAAACCAAAGCACAAACCTGTGAAGCAGAATTACTATTTATACTCCACTAGCCAACAAATCCAGCAGAAGATTGCACAGCTTGGCAGCACAAGGTAAGTTTCCAAATGAAGCCAATACAGAACTTCAGATATAAAATAATTCAGAGCATATGCTTCAGAAAAGTGAGGAAAAGATTCCTTCTCGGAATAAAGATCTCTCTTGCGAGCATTTTACCCACACACCAAAAGCCCCATCTGCATCACAGCTCCAGCATGAGCTTGCTAACACAATTTATGCAACGCATTCGCAGTGCTTCACAGCTGCAAACAAGCCATGGTAGTTGAAATCCACACTCTATAGAGAGAAGCACGAACAACTTGTGGTTGCTATTCCTTATGCTCATTACAGAATACCCTCAGCCCTGCCGGAAGATCCACAACAAAACCAAAAGAGGGGACCTCGGTCTGAGCGACACGTCAGACCTATAGCACCGCTGCACTGCAGCCGTATGAGGTCACTGCAAAAGCAGCTCATCAAACCGGGTCTGACACAAACGAGGCCCACGCAAAGAAAGAAGAACGTCGCGAACTTCCACGACGGACAAGCCAACACTTCACTCAATTCAGAAACTAGAGTAACCAACAGAGCGCTGGCTGGCCTCTCCTACAGCCGCCTGGGAACGCGTTTGTTTATTCCCCCGATTCCGAGGCCAGCACAACACGCAGACCAAAGCGGACAAGGGCGGTATTTGCGGAGATAGCCCGGCACCGATCTCCCTCCCCCGGCAGCCGGACAGGCCCGCGCCGCAGCCCCTCTTACCGCCCACTTCCTCCGCGCCCTCCAACAGGATGTCCTTGGTGAAGCTGGAGATCTGCCCGGTGAGCGAGGACAGGCTGCCCCCCACCTGCCCCAGGGACTGGCCGAGCCCCGAGCCCAGCCCGCCCAGCCACGACGCCATGGCTCGGCCGGCCGCGGGCCTCCGCGCTCAGCAGCTCCCGGCTCCGCGCCGTGCGGCACCGGCTCGGCGAAGGGGGTGGCCGCCTCCTCTCTTCTCCTCGCCGGGGAGATCGAAGCTCTTACGCGGGCTCAACAGAGCGCTCCCGGCGAGCCCTCCGCCGGCTCCGTGCGCATCCCCCGGCTCAGCGACTCCGCCCGGCAGCGCCGGCCGCTGCCACCTCGACGGCCGCCATGACACCGCCTGCCGGCGCACCATCGACAGCGGCCGCGGACGGCTAGAGCGCCCCGCGGCGGCCGGCGGGCAGCGGAGGATGCCGGGATCGCGGCGGAGCCGCGGGGGGCGGGCCGGCGGAGGCGCGAGCGGCGGCGCCCCTTGCCGCCACAGGGCCGCCTCTGACAGCGCGTGCCCAGGTCTCCGCTGCTCCTCCTGAGAAGAATCTTTTACAGCTGTATCTGTTTGCGCCTATTTAGACACCATTGTGAAAATATCAAACAGCGCTGCTGCCATTTTCCATTCAAAACAACGACAAAGGTGTTGGTTTTTTTGTGTTTTTTCAGCAATATATACTTCATATACACAAAAACGATTCCTGGAGGAATCGAATGCCAAAGATCTCATAGTGAAAGGAGAGATGAAAACCTATTACTGAAAATGATTTTTAAAATATGCAACTATTAGACACAAAAGGAAAGAAAATATGCCCGCAGGAAGCTGTACACGTGAGGTTTCGCACAGTAAGATAACATTTTATCCAAGCTTGTATATTTTAAAGACAACCAAGCTCTCCTTGCACAGTGCTGTCTCAGCATTACAACCCTTTCCATTCAAGCCCTTTTAGTTTCCCCCTGAATTTACAGTGTCAGTACTAGGTGAAAAACAAACCGTAAATGCAGTGACAATTACATATTTCTCTTGAAGTAAAAATGTAAAAGCACTTCGGTTTTGTGAAAGTAGGTGCAAAGATGCACGCATTTAAACGTTTTCTGAAGAACAAGAACGAAGGAAGGAGGAGCACAGGTTGAATACCAAAAGATTTCTTTAATGCCATTAATGCAGGCGAGGCACAAAGTATGCATGCAGGTTAAAAAAAAAATGATTGTAAAATAGCTTACGCTTCCATGACAGCCTGAATACAATACGAGAATGCTATTCATTCCTGCATTGTAAATTATAAATATTTGGACCACTTACAAATATTGGTCTTAACTTGAACTTCTGGTGATGTAGGTGCATGCGTAAGTCTGTTAGACCTTTCTTTTTTAAATGATTTCTGAGTACCTGAAGATTTCTCAAGAGTTTGGCTTAAGAAGCAGCTTATAAAATTAATTTGTTCATTTTCTACCTATGCAATTAATAATATTTCCAGTTATATTTTTTCTTTTCTCGGATTTTTAAAAATGTTTTATTTCTTTAAAGCCTACTTTTAAAGTTGGTAATAAGAATTGTACAGCTATACTTCTGGTGTATGTATGAGTTCTGGTGGCCCCAAACCTAATTCTCCATAACATTCATCAGTGAAAAACCCCGTTTGTTCACTTTTATCTCTATGTTTGAAAGTTACTAAGTTCTAGAAAAATTCTAATTCTGCCTGGAATAACCTCAACACTTTGTTATTCATTTTTTAAAAGCTGAATTGTCAGTTTTATCATAAAACAAAGCAGCTTGCAGACAACAGCATTTGTCCAGGACAGGGAAACAGAACCGCTTACTTGTGTGGATGCTATTTTAAGCACAGTTCTTATCTCTACTGCCCAACCTTTTATAGATTCCTAGTAGCTGCAATAGTCCAAAATTAGAACCCACTGGAGATTTAACATTGTAATGGTGTTTAGTACTCCAGGTGAGAAATTTATAGGCACCTTATAGTGTAAATTCTGCAAAGTAATCACATACGAAAAACAATAAACACAAACACTAGCTGAAAATTACATTTAAACCCACTGCTCATGTTTTTTTGAAATTTGAACAGTGCAAAGATCCCAAAGGTAGGAGGAATAAGCCAGTATTATATCAGATTAGCTCCAAGGCCAGAAAATTTTGAAAATATAAATTCATATCATAATACCATACCAACAAGAACTGCATTCAAGCACGATGGTATTACTTCTTCATCCTGCCCTCATTACAAAACCATGAGAACAGTTTACAGAATTATACATACTTATTTTGGAAGTCAACTAACAGAAGTATCGCTCATTCCCCTACCACTTTGATTCTATAAGCAGAACACAAATTGTGTCAGATGGATTGTGAGAAAAATAGTAAACATCTGTCACATGAATGAAGTCTGAATTCCCCTTAAGTATCTTACTGTAATTAAAATAAATAAATGTATGCTCTTTAACAACAGACTTTGGCCTATAGCTATGTGGGAAAAAAAAAACCAAACAAAAAAACCCATTCAGTTTCACTAGCAATAGGTTCTGAATTAGTAAATGCCACACTTATCAGCACAGTTCAACCACAATGAGAAGTGTTTATCATTAAAGGAATGCACACAGAAAAAAACAAGATCAGCTTTTTATTGACAATTTGGCAGGTCCACATATTTTGAACTTTAGAACTGGGTCAAAAAATATGTTCTGTCAAGAATTAGTCTTTTGTGTTGGTGCAATTAGCACACTTAGTTTTAACTGTTACCTCCGAATTGCTTGAGTTGGCAGTTAAGTATACTTCACCAAACTTGACATTCCTCTGAATGCCAAACTGATATTTGTAGAGTGATGCTGTTTCAACACAGAAAGAAATATGGTTAGCCCTGTAATCTGACTCACATATTTGTGCTTTTCAGGCACTGTTACTTTATAAGCATCACAGGTTAAAACACTTGGGTAGAGTAACTTAAAAAACAACATGAAAGTTCAAATGCAAACCTCCACACTTCAGTGATTATAAAAGACATGTACCAGAAGTCAGTACTGGGGCCCATCCTATTTAATATCTTTACTCATAATTTGGGTGAGGGAACTGAGTGCACCATTAGTACGTTTGTACACGACACCAAATTAGGGGTAAGAACTGAACTACTTGAGAGTAGGAAGGCCCTACAGAGGGACCTGGACAGGCTGGATAGCTGGGCTGAGACCAATGGGATGATGTTCAACAAGCCTAAGTGCTGTGTCCTGCACTCCTGTCACAACAACCCCATGCAACACTATAGGCTAGAAAGCCTCACAGAAGAAAAGGATCTGGAGGTGTTGGTTGATGCTCAGCTGAGCATAATAAACCAGCAGTGTGCTCAGGTAGCCAAGAAAGCCAAGGGCATCCCAGCTTGCATGAGAAACAATATAGCCAGGAGAAGCAGGGAGGTGATCCTTCCTCTGTATTCAACTCCAGTAAGGCTGCATCTCAAGTACTGTGTTCAGTTTTGGGCCGCTCACTACAAGACAGACATTGAGGCCCTAAACTATGCCCAGGGAAGCAGGTGAGGAGTCTGGAACACAAGTCTTATGAAACAGCTGAGGGAAGTGGGATTGTTTAGCCTGGAGGAGGCTCAGGGGACACCTTATAGCTTTCTGCAACTGCCTGAAAGGAAGTTGTGGGTCAGCCTCTTCTCCCAGGTAACAGGGACAGGGTGAGAGGAAAGGCCTCAAGCTGTGCCAAGGGAGGGTCAGATTAGATAGCAGACAATTTATTCTCAGAAAGAGAGGTGAGACATTCAAACAGGTTACTCAGGGAAGCGGTGGAGTCACTGTCCCTGAAGGTGTTAAGAGAAAGGGTAGATGTAGTACTGAGGGACATGGTTTAGCGGGCAATATTGGTCATAGGTGGATGAACTAGATGTTCTTAGAAGTCCTTTACAAGCTTTATGATTCTATGATGTTGTTGTCACAGGTTAGTTAATGCAATTCAAGGGATTTTTTTTTTAATTTTTAAATATAGGACCACTATACTATGTAGCTACAGAAATGATATTTTTATGATATTCTTGTAACAGAAGATAAAAGGTCCAAGTTCAAGTACTAGTATCAAGTAAGTATTAACAAGCTCTGCCAGCTTACACCTATTTATTAAAAGAGAGATTTCAGGGTCAGTTTACGGCACAACAAAGGAAGGGAAGTTAATGTGGATAATTTGCAAACAAGCACAGAGATAACTTACTGCTTTACATACTCCTCTTCTGTTTTCAGTTTCATATAAATTTCAATCAAATCTACCTCCTGAAAAATATAGCATTTCAAAATGGCATTTGCACACGTGTCTTCTCAATGCCATTACTTGGCTGTACTTCAGCACATTATAGAGATTACATGTGCACAACAGGATTATATACATAACAAAATCTTAATTTTTAAAAAGTAGTGCTGTCATGTCAAAATTCACATCATACTACATATCCCAGCAGTGGAAATCCAGGAAAACAGAATTCACTCTATATGTATAATACTCTAACCTATCAAGAAACCATTGCTGTAAACAAATATTTACTGAGAGGTAAGAGCCCTTTCAAGTAGGTACTACTCGATGCTGAATGTATACTTCCATTTAACTACCATTAAGGTCATACTGCTTTTATATGTCACTATTGTGCAATGATACTACATTAGAATATTTTGATAAAGAAATTTGGGTTTATTTTCAAAAGATATTCTTAGAATGCCTGTGCTAACTGTTAATGCATTGAATACAGCTTACATACTGTATCTATAACATATTTCCATATAATTTATATGTAAACAGAATTTGTATTTCAAGCACCATTTAGTAAAATGAAACATCAATTTTTGCACTAAGTTGGAAGTCAAGTTCGTTCACCCTATCACACATTCATTCTGGGTATCAAAACAAATGTGCTACAACAAATAGAATAAGCTATCTCCCATCCTTTGCTCCCTGTTTTGTGTTTTCTTTCTCAGCATCAGAAAACAACATGATAAAAAATTTTAAGGTGCATGAGTAAAGGCCATTCCTGAAAAAGCTACAACATTCTGACAGACAGTCAAAAAGCATTTCAGAAAGAGCACCCACACGGACATAAATATTCATTCTTAGAAGAGATACTTGCACAGAGGTCATTGCAGACTGCAGGAATGCGACTTATATATGTGGCACTGATTTTATGGCACCCAGATCTTCCCCACTTTCCTTTCTCCTAGACTCAGTTACAGCTCTATGATACTGAAAGGCCAGAATTAAGGGTGAAGAGGAAAAGATAATGCAGTAGAAATATAAAAGAAAACCTGTTTAACCCATTGTGATACTTCTATGATAAAAACAGTGGTATAACCAGAAAGATTATAAAAAAACTAACATTAAAAAAAAGTTATTTACAAAAAGACAAAATGACAAAGCAAAAATCCTACCTCAAGCACGAACTTGGAAACTAGAAATAAAACTAAAAGTAAAACCAGGAAGTGTTAGAATATCAGAAGCACTCTGGAATCTTTCAGTGAATGTCATGATCTACAGTACACTGGAGATTTTGTTTAATTGCCAAGCAATACATTTACAGATTTAGGTTTCTCCTGCAGGGTGGGTCATTTCAAAAGCGGACAGCAGGATCAAAAAGTTGGCATCAAGTCATTTGAAGAATGAATCACAAAACAAGTTACCTAAGATAAACAGAATTTAGGGTTTTTTTTCCTCCATCTGAAGTGTTTTCTCATATCTAGCAACTTATGAATACAACTTCTATCTATTTTTGTACTAGTATGGAAAAAAACTGGTTGATACCAGTTTTTGGCACCTTTTGTGTTCTCTACAGATTTTTTCAAAACAATTTTTCTTTTTTAATGCAAGTTACAGCTGCTACATGTGTTTGTTTGATCAAGAGTAACTTAAGCAACTTCAACACTGTTACTCTTGTAGTAGGAGTGCTATGCTATTCTAAATTAGTGCGAACTTTTCATATTTGCAGATTCCCTCTAAACTCTGAGCTCCAGCCAACCCTTCATTCCTGCTTCCAAAACTCTGAAATGAACCCAGCTTGTGCAACATCCACACAGTAAAATTGTAACGGAGATGTAGTGTTTTGACAATAGAGGGGAAAAAATTATGATGTCATTTCTTCTCTTCTGTACTCAAGTGATTTCTAGCAGATTCCAGGGACATATTCATAGCTGCTTGAAGCATGTCCTCCTCACTCATATCACCTCCTAAAGAAAACAGATGTATACAAATTGTAATAAAAGCAGAGATTCAGTTCTCAACTATAATTAAATGCTTTCTTTGCTCCTTTTGTCCATACCTACTCTGTCCCAGACAAACTAAACAACAAAAAGCAAAGCCAGAGCTCAGTCTAATAGTTCACCCTAATGTCAGAACAGGGTACTGACATTCACAACAAAACAGACTTTTCAAGAAAGTGATCCTTTCCTTCTGCCAAAAAGAGTAATGGCTGTGATGCACAGTCTGAACTGCTGCTGGGGTGAGAAATAAGGCAGGGAAGGAAAGTGAGGAAGCAGAGCACAATACAAAGGTAAATAAAATATACTGAGGTATATTTATTTACAAAGGTAAATAAAATATATTTCTATGTTGGAAATAAGTTTAAAAAACAGTACCTGGATCAGCTTCTAGAGTGCTTGAGTTTATAGTTGGTTTGTCATGTAGGTTCAGTGTCAGATCCTGCTGCTCTATCTGTTGCTGCCTGAAATAATTATAAATTTAAAGAAAAGTAGAATTAAGATCAGTATGACTCCTATATCAAAACTATTTCATCGTTAAGGAAGGCCAAGAGTTAGATGTATAAGCTGCCATTTGAAATATTAACCCACCCACACCATCCCAAATCTCTTCAGTTGTTTCCTCTGCTAAGCTTCATGTTGGGATATCTGACATCCCAAATTACAGGCCTGTTTTCCCAGAATTCAGACATTCTGCATTACTATCCTCTCACGCAATATCTGTCACCTCCTTTCTGCAGCATTTCTCCTTTATCTAAATTTCCTTCATCACTGGGAAATAGAGACAAGCAAAGACTACAATAAAACCACAAATATGTATTAAGGCAGCGCTCCAGAAATGAAAAATGAAGTATCACCTAAAAAATCTTTGTGTGATGTTCACAAGAGAAATCATTTCCAGAAGTCTTAGAGGAAGAGTATTCTTCAGGAAAATAATTACGGAAATTATTTACAGTAGTAGAAATACTCTAAAATATTTATTTGCTTTCCTTCATAAGAGTGATGGTACACTACTAACAGATCCCCTCTTATTTACAGGCTTCATTTCTTAGGAACGCATGGGAATAGCAAAATTCTAGTACTGCTATGAAAACAGGGTAAGGGTTAAATCAAGCTGGATCTCTGAGAGAAATCCACCCACAGCCCAAAAGCACTGAACAATAAGACATTTACTTCCAAATGCAGATTTAGTTTTCTATCGGCTACTTTACTTTTCAAAATATGCTTGTCTTCTCCTGCGCAGATCTTCTGAAGAAACAGAGTCTGTCTGGCTGGTGTGTGGTGGCTGAGAAGCATTCTGTGGTAACGAGTTTGAGAACTCATTTTGACGACTACCTAAAATCAGAACAAGCCATATCCTACTAATTACAGTAAAATTATAATTTACTTTTTTTCCTTAATATAAAAACAAATTAAAAAAACCACATCCTTCAAACTTGATGAAAACAGACTTGTTAGTGAAATAAGCACCTAGGCTAACTTCACTGTCACTTTCTCACTCTAGAATGGTTCCTTTTTTTCCTCCCTCCCTCCTTGTTCTTGCCTCCTAAAAAATCAGTGTTAACGTAGAAGTTAACTTTTCAAACAGCAGGAAGGAGATAGATACAAGAAAGTCTGGATTATCCTTCTATGCCTCAAAGCCAGTCTTTTCAGAGCTAGAAGCATGCTGAAAGCAGCTGTCTGAAGCTGTTTTAGTAGCTGCTAAAGCATGAGCAACAAGAACATGGCAAGTAAAATTTTAAAAAAGCACTGTACCTTGCATGCTGAGTTGAATGGCTCTACGAAGATCAGCTTCTTCATCTTCCATATCGATTTCCTGCCTACTTAGAGCCAGAGCTCTTTGAAAATTCTCCTCATCTTCATCTAACATGCTTGTCCCATCAAAAGGATGGCTAACTTCTATCGCTTGGTCCACATCACTTCTGGGTAGTCTGTGAAGTCAATACATTTATAACATTCAAACCACAATTGTGCTTACTTCTATGGAGAGATTTAAAGTAGTTTGTGCTGATTTAACTACTTTTTTTTTTTTTTTTTTAACTTTGACAAAAAGTGACTTACGATAATCAGAAATATTTTCTTATTTCTATACAAAAAAAGCATGAAGAAACTGCAAGTATAGTTTTCAGCTATAAAAATGAAAATACCAAAACCATGAACATATGCTTACATGTTGATGAGAATCTTCTTTATAGGAGAAACTTCAAAAGCAAAAGTGCTATGTAAAAATATTAATTTTATTTGAATCTATTTCAAGTAAGACGGTCAAACCCACAGATAGAAGTGTACACGGTCTCTTCCTCAGGAACCTTTGATAACACTACAGCAAAAGATCCTCTGTAAACTATACGTAATTTCACATCAGTGCCAAGTAGCTTACTGTTTTTATTGTATCTGCTTACAACACCATAGTTTACTTTATGAAGTGGAAGAAATAATGAATTCATTCCTCTAAATTAATTCCTCTGAATTCTTCTGTCAGAAGATATGAAAGATTCCTTCAGCCAGTTTGGGTCAGCTAACCTGGTTCTGTCTCCTCCCAGCTGCTTGTGCTTCTCCCCTAGCCCTTCAGTGGCAGGACAGTATGAGAAGCTGTAATGTCCTTGGCTTTGTGCAGCACTGCACAGCAAGAATTAAAACATCAGCGTATTATCAACACTGTTCTACTCCCAAAGCCAAAACATCATACCATACACTATGAAGAAAATCAACTCTGTCCCTGTTGAAACTAGGTCATCTACTAATTTGGCTTTACAGTGTGCAATAGAATACACTGATCTTGAGGTACGTCTAATTACATCTTAAAGAGTTTGTTTCCATGTAGGCATTAATCATGGAAACAAATCTTACTAAACATTATTAAAAGGAAGTCTGTTTACCTTACCTCTGGTCTCTTGACTGTGTAGTCTCTTCTCCAATTAGTTTTGGTCGCTGTACCTGCTGAACTCGAATCATCTGCAACAGCTGATCAGCCTCACAGTCTGGCAGGTCACCTTTTACTACAAATATGGAATAACCTGAAAAATAGAAATCATGGGTCTACAGCATTAAGCTGCACACATAAGTTATGTGAAATGCAAACTGATATGGAATACAGCGGTCTGCAGTTTGTTAAAATATACAGCTCAAACTCTCATTACAAGAACGTGGGTTATTTCACTATTTCAATAACAAAACTAAGGCTAGTTAACTGAATACATAAGTTCTAATAGATAATGATTACCTGCTTTTAATTAAAGAGATTTAATATCTGCAAGTTACTATTACCTTCCTGTTGTAATTGCGCCAAGAAAAGTGCAAGATATGTATCTGATATTAGTTCTGGACCCATCAAGAGAGAGTTCAAGTTAAACCACTGCAATTAAGAAAAAAAGTTTGAGAGAACAAATTAGCATAAAGATGACTGAGTAATCCATTTCTGTACATTGTGGTCATTTTCTAAAATAAAATCAAATCATCAAATAAAATAAATCATCAAGTTAAAAGTCTATTGAAGCACAACAACTGTACTGCTCAAAGTTTCCCTTCAAAATCTCTTCAGCTAACAGGAGGTCTGAGGCATGTAAGTGACTGCATGCTCTCTCCCCTTTCTGACTACTGGTAGAAGGCAACGGACTAAAACACAAATCTAAAGATGGAGAATAATCACTTCAGGCATAGTTTTAAAATACTCCTTGATTATTTTTTTTTTTAAGCAGTTCAGGAATGCATGAAGAAAGAAGCTGTTCAAAAGTTAACACTGTATCTTAATATATTTGTAGTTACAGGCAACAGAAATTGAATTCACTCTATTCTGTTAATTAAACATGCTGCCTTTAACAGATGCTAATACTGCAAACTATTGTTTACATCTCTGGGAGATAACTGTTAAATTTCAAAATTTAGGAAAATGAACTTAAAATTTAATATGCCAGTTATACATATATACATTACAATGTAGGTCACATTATTTTCAGAATCATTATATATAATATTTCCACTAGGGAGAAAATATACTCAGTATGTATGGCAAAATGGTCTACCTGGTGTATTCCATTTATATAGCAATCAATTTGAAGAATATTTTTATATTCCATACTCATTCAACATTACCCAGTTTGAACGAGAACGCACCATTTCAGACAGAATTCTATCTCTGTTATCACAAAAATGCATCTGTCTGCCTAAACTATCAAATATGCAATTCTACACTTGCAGTCAGGACCGAACTAACCAGGTAATTCACCTGGTGAATTCAGAGTCAACTATCTACCATTCTTAAACTGTCAGTCAAAAGCCCCTCTTCCACTAAGATAAGGTAAAGAAAACAAACTGTGTAGGAATGGGGAAAGAATTAAAAGGTTATGTAAACTGTATGTGACAGACAGATTACTGATAAACTATTAAAAGTGTGGAGGACAAAAGTTTGGAAAACTAACTGCTATAACTGTAACAGAAAAGAAGCAGGTGAAAGCAATAAGTCAATCTGTTTTGTCTCTCCCTTCTCATTCCTCTCTAGTTAACACAACCTTGTGTTTTCTTTGTTTACAAACCGTGTAAGAAAACGAAATGCATCCCCCCTCCAATTAAACATGTTGTAGGCTAGAACAGTATCTGAAACAAGTTTCAGCTGACATGGCTATAATTCTACCAGGGAGCTTATCCAACCCTTCAGAAGCCATTCAGCCTTTTCAATTTCAAGTACACCAAAAAAATGCCTGTAAACAATAATAAGCCAAACTCTCAAACTGCACCAGAACTGTGGAGTTTAGTTTCTTATTCACAGGCAAAATTATATTTCTTTTAAAATGGATGCCAACATAAGTAGTCACTACTTGGAACATCAAATGGGTAAGATGACTTCTGCTTGCTCTTTTAGAACTTGAATGCTTATTTTATGGGACACTTTCTATGACACAGAAAACCCAGCAATAACAAAACAAACAAACAAAAAAAAACCAACCCCAAAACACCACACCAAACCAATTAATTTATGTTGTATAAGAGTTTATGAAGTATGATCCAGAACAATGATTGGCTACTGAAAGAAAGACTGCACTGGCATTACAGGAGATCCGCGTGTGATCTGTATTATTATATAGGCACTGTGCATATGTATGGCCATTCTTTACCTTTAATAGTTATTTTCTGCTTATAATACAGCTGCTTCAGATTGATTTTTACAATAGTGGAAATTTTGATTCTACCTTGTCCAGCCTTATCCCTTGGATACCTTTAAATACCTGCAGTTATTAATATTCATTAGTACAATGGAACTTTGAAATTGTATTTTTTTTCCTGTTGTTTCACACACAGAAAGAACAAGAGAACTTAAGAGGTCACAAGGATTGCCTCAGCTACAGTTTCTTATAGGACAGGTTCACTAGGGAAATGATCCTAGGATGTTTTCCCAAGCTAAAATTCAGGGGAAGCTGCCTGGCATTTCTGATATAACAACCATTTACTCATTTATTTATGCCTACTATTAAATCAAATTGCAGAAAAAACCTGCAAAAGGCCAACACGTGGTCTACTTGAAACCATTTCTTCCACCCCCATTCTGAAGTCAATTTTTAAATAAAAAAAGACAGTGTCACCTGTTTTCCTAACTTTCGAACTGTAAACCAGTGTTCCTTATAATTACAAATAAATGATTTTTCATTTCTGTAAAAAGAAAAACAAAAGGTATAGATAAAATTAAATAATATTGGAGTGCATATTAATATTTTAAGTTCTTTGCCACCACTAATTTAAACTTACAAAACAAACTTTCAGTAATAGAACTGTTGATTACAGAGTACTCATACTGCTTTTATAACTTATAATATGTATGAAATTGTCTCTTTCATCGCATCAGCATTACTGAAATCTCATATACCTGTGATGACACAGATACTGAGATGTCACAAAGGCACAGAGGAGAGGTGCTCATATACACCCTCAAAAGAAGAAAAAATATCAAAGGATCAGGGTGTAAGAAAATAAACACGAGAATGCAACAGAGCTTAAATACTGATTTTAAAGAAATAAATAACCGTTTTTCAGTATTTTTCCTAAAATTAAAGGAAATTGTGCTTAAAAAATGATGACAACAAAAAGTCTTACATAGGGTCGATCCCAAGCCTCTGATACTCTGGGCTGTTGAAGAGGATTAGTTCTAAACCCCACACTTTCAAAGCATTGCTTATAACCTGTCAAAACAAACAAACAAAAAAAAAACAACAACACTTTTTATGAGTCAAACCTATCTGATCTAACTTGAGCAGATTTAGCCACTACAAACATTTATATTATCCTCATAAGGCTTTGATCTCAAAATCCTGCAGGGAAAATTAGGAATCACATTATTCAAAATGCCACCGTCATCAATCTACATCAAATATAACATGCCTACCATATCTAAGAGGAAGTATCAAAATTGTGATTTAACTAAGACATGTTAATACAGCTTTGACTGCAGCAATAAGTTTAATTTCACCTCCCACAGCTACTGTCTATGTTGTCATCTCTCTGTTCTCCACGTACTGCTCTGTCTGCCCTCTCCTTTTAAGTACAAGTCATCTATCCCCACAATAACTATTTGGGATTTGCACCACTTGAATGCCACATCATTCATTCTGGTTTAGTGATAGCATTTTTAGGTTGACAGCTCCAGTTGATTTTAAAGAGCTGTCTCTGTCCATCAAGGCTTGCTGATCAATCTAAAGACACAGTTTCCACTGTACTGCAAGCAAATAGCAGTATAACAGATCCCTGGAAGTCACTGTGTCTTAGGGCTTCTAAATAAGAATTTTCTCAACTTATTAGAATATTCAAAGTGACTTTGATAGATAATCAGCAAATCTGAAAATAAAAAGTAACTACCAAATTCTTTTACAATAACTCTTAAAGCTACTTGCAGTAATGCTGTAGAAAATTATAAATCAACAATTCATCCTCCTTTCTGCAGCCAACTATGTAGCAAGCATGCGAAGCAATGACAGGACAAAAAGGTACAGAATATAAGGAAACATTACATTCTGCAGCACTGAAAAGCACCTCTGAAAACCAGAGACAGACAAAGGTACAGAGCTTTGTTAACAGCTCCAGTCTAGACACAAGACCCAGTTTGGTGTTTAATACCACCTTTTTGTTTTGGTTAACATATTTCCTGTTAATTATTTTCCCATTACATTTCTTTAAAAGTAAAATAAAAAAGCAAACAAATAAAAACCCACAATTCAGAGTGCACTGAGAGAATTGTAAAAACTGGAACGCAGATACTGCAGCTTCTCTCATTCTGTAAATCATGGCAATAATTCTGTAACCGCTGCCAAAGACTTCACAGTCTATAATTTGAGAAGACAATCTCAAGTCTCTTTTTTCACCTGTAGCCCATAAAAAGCAATTTGGAAAGCAAGCTTATTGCAAGCAGGTGTGATATCACAACTGAGGGAGACTATGCTTTGACGCTTTATTTAAAGGCCCATAAACTGAATCACAGAATTGCTCAGGTTGGAAAAGACTTTTGAGATCATCGAGTTCAACTGCAACCAAATCATACTACTCTAAAGAACAAACACAAGTCACCACTGCTCTTAACGTAATTCAAGATTCAAGTCCAGCCAGTAAGCCTATAAAATAGAAACTAGATAATAGTTCAATGTCATTTAAATTATATGACAGCACATATATTCCATAAAGAAAAAAAATATGCCAGAGTAGAGCACTGCTTACTTGAATGGAGAAGAATCCACTGTCATCCATGTTTACAGAAGGCTGCTGCTCAGCATATGAGGTTGGGGAAAGAAAAGTTAAAGTCGTGTAAGCATAAAAGTTCAAAAAGAATTTCACTTAAAAAAATAAATATGACTGTACATAAATAAAGCAACAACAAAATATATTCTACTCTGTATGCTGATTACAACACCTCCATTTTCATTAATAACTCAAACCTTCAAATTGCAAATACTTATTGCTTATAGGACAGACAGATACAGGAAATTCTGTTACCATCTCTACCCCTGGCTTACTAAAACAAATGGTCGATCTCTTACTCTTCTTGCCATGCCTGACCTTCCTATCCTTAAGATGAGGATAATGTAGCCTCCTGTAGGAGCACTATAAAGTTGTAGAAATAACATTTAAAAACCTCAAACCTGAAATGGTTGAAAGGAAATATCAGCAAACTTCTAAATATCAGCACTAGAAAATGAACCTTCTGTAACTATGAAAGTGTAGCAGGCCTTTGTTACACAATACTAGATTTTATGCAAGCATCATGCAATGTCAAGTTAAGATTTTACCTGTAAAAATGTTCTATATTCTTCGCTAGACACTCCTCCCTCTGCCATTCTCATTCTTTCTTCCTCATCCAACTGCTGTGCAATGGAGGATAACTCAACAGGACTAAAGTACTCCCCTTGCAGCAAATTATTCAGACAGTGCTGAGCACATAGTGAGCCTTCTTGCTAATATTGGAAAAGGAGAAAAATAAAAATTAAAAAAAAAAGTCAAAAGCAATAACAAATAGATGTTAATGATGTGCTCTGCAAAAACATTTAATGATTTTATTCCAGTAAACTTTTCCTCCAGCCCCCACTTCCCAGAATACCATATTTTTTTCTAGATTTATTACAGTGTGAGCAGTAGAATACATTCCTCTGCTCCATAAATCTGATGATGAAAAAGAAAACAAACATTACATTTCCTGGAAGAAAATAAACTCTAAGTGAAAATGTTTTGGGAAACAGTGTAAAAATCACCTACAGCTTGTTCAAATCACACAAGTACTTTGCAACCATCAGGAGAATGGATTCTGCTCCCTTCAAATCATCACCATATGAAATAGGAAACTCGTTTTCTTTTTTTAATCTCTAAACACTCCCCACAAGAGATGCTCTTGTTATTTGTTAAACTTGTGTTCCCTGCCAGGCGTGGCTATCAAAAATCTGCTTTCCACATGTGGCTGAAGAAAAATTACAGTTTCCCATGAAAAGCAATCTCTCTCTAAAAAATAACAAAGCTACAAGCACAAGAGAGTTTAAAATCAGTTACAAAAAGCAGCTTTCCTCTTTGTTTGTATCAATGCTCATTTATATTAACGTTAACAACATGCATTAGAACAAATTTGTTGGAAACAAAACAAAATCTTCAAAGAATCAAAACCAGCCCCTTACCTCTGCCAAAACCCACAGAAAGTAAGAATCCAAGAGTGTGCCTTGTAGGAATATTATTTAAACATCCACCCTTTCACCATACAAGTCAGGTGCACAAATCTCCTGTGGCCTCCCTTACAGCAAGAGCCTTAAAACTTCAGATTACAATACCTTCCGAGGGCACCACCACTCAACTGAACACTGAGTTAAAGCTGAACCAGCTGTACAGCCAAGGTACAATGGAATTCAGAAACCTCATCTTTCACAGCTCCTCCAGCTCATGATTATCCCACAACAAGATATTCCAGACTAAACAGCAACTCCTGGCCTGTTGGAAGCACATTCCTGTATGATGAGACCAGCAGCAACTAAAACAGGGGAACCTGCTTATGGTCACATATTGATTTCACCAGAAGCACGTGAAATAATTAGGAACAAATCAACCCTAGGATACTCTTCGAAAGGGCCTTTCTGTACTTGTACAGAAAAAAATTCATCTTAAAACTAAAATAACAATCTGTACATACCGTAAGTGCATAAAACACATCTTACAGTTTGTAATAAATGTTAACTGCAGTATTTCTGTGCAAAGAATATGGTATTTTTCCATAGTCTGAAATTTCCTTATTGAAACCTATCCTGATATCAACAGCTGTCCTGCTTTCAGTGGTTTCAAACACTCAGATCCTTTAAGAGAAAAGGCCAATATTTTAATAATAGGGGCTCAAATCTGCAGCAGTCCTACTTTTTGCAACCATCATCCTCCTGTTACAAACACAACTGTTGCGGGTCTTTGTTTAGTTGAAGGTATACCAATTCCTTGAATGTAGTACATGCTTGATCATTTCAGTTTCAGCGGTTTATTTCAAAACTACAAAGCAATTTACTGATAAACCCTTCTTTCAGTTGCCATGTCGGTACATGAAAGGCTACACAAAAGGAAGGTATGCACTCTTGGTTAAAGCTCATTTTCCAGTCCCAGTTGGAAGGTGTGTTATAATGGCTGAAATCCAGCTCTTGCCTTCTGAACAGCAGCTTCGTGGCACAATGCTTGCCACGTTTTGCTACCCACTCTCCACGTTCTACTACTGATGTATAAAAATAATGATTTATAACAAACAAACAAACAAAAACAACAGAAGTGTACAGCTAACTCTTTATTTGCTAACTAAACCAACTACTACGCGTAAGTAGAACAACGGCTAGAAATCGGTATCACCTACAGCACAACAAAGATGCAGAGTCACCGGCGAAGCAGGTGAAAAACGGAGCTGTACTGTAGCAGCAGGGAGCTCGCACACAGCCCGTACGTGCGAGCCCTGGCAAAGCGCAGCAGTTTCCAGAAGCATTTCTTCTCCAAAACAGGAAGCGCCGCTCAGCACGCGACGCAGGCCGTCCCCAGCAGCGCCGTTCCCGCCGGGCGGCACACCCACAGCGGGCAGCGCCGGTGACGGCGAGCAGCGTCCGGGCGCACGGAACCCGGAGCACAGAACCCAGAACCCGCCCCACGTACCGCCGCTCGCCTCCGTGCTCGGCCACAGATGAGAAGCAGCGGCTTCAGGCCGTACCCGATCGCACCCAACAACCGCTACGGAGTGCCCAACGCGAGAAGTCCCCGCGGAGCGCGTCCCCGCTTCCACCCCGCCAGACGACCGAAGGCCGGACCCCCTCCCCTGCGGGACGCCTCACCGAAACGCCGGACCCCCTCCCCCGCGACGGCTCACTCACCCGCTCGTGGAATATCGACTCCATGTTTATTGTCAACGGCACGGCCTCCGCCTCACATGACCCGCGCGGCCAATCTCAGCTCGGCCCCGCTGAACCAAGCTGCCACAGCGCCCCCTGGCGGCCGGGAGGTCCCGCCATCTTGGCGACACCCCGCGCCTGCGCGCGGTTGTGGAGCAGCCGGAAATTCCCGCCCGTGTCCGCGCGACGCTGAGTGAAAGCGTGCTGCGTTAAGTGCTTCCGTGAAGGCTAGCTCATAAATTAGCTATAAACGCATTAATTCCACACCATACAGATTAATAAAAAAGGAAAATATTTTTGCATAGTTTTTTCTTTATTACATTAAGTCTTTTCTCCCCCAACTCCAGAATGGTACTTCTGGGGGCGGGCATTTCTCAACGTTTGTGAGCTTCCCAGATACAACTTAGCTATGTAACTAAATCACCTTCCAAAAAGCAACAATGGAAATTAAAGTAGCAGTGACAAATTGTAGGTGTTCTTCTCTGTAGCTTGGTATGATCTCAAGATAAAAACATAATCATATTATTTCAATGCATGAGATAAGGTGATTAACCGAGCAAAAATATTTCCCCATTCATCAACAGCCTTTATTTCCATGTCGTTTCTTCGCCAGGTCTCAGCTCCCTGTGTGGAAAGAAAAAAAAAAGGTGGAGGCTAAAATTAGGATAAATGTTGTGGGATAATTAACACACATTTAGAATAATTCTGGAATCCTTTGATTTGGAAAGTTATCCTGACTTTTTCTTTGCATCTGTTGTCAGTTTTAAACCTTCCTATACTGGTAAGCTTTTTCTTTTCAACCCAAAGCTTCAAAGGATTGAGTCCTTGGCTACCATTATTATAAATAGACCTCTAGTGAGTTAACAAATCATTGTTGTTTTTTTTTTTTTTTACATAATGGGACTCTAAAGGAAAAAAATCTAACTCCTTCCAATACAAAAATCCATTGCTTTAGTGGAAAGACAAATAGAGGTGAAAGTGGAAAGGGTTTTTGCTATGATGCTGAAATAGCCTGAAGTCACCAGCAACTGCAGAAAGAAAAGTGCTTGTGTAGCAGCTGCATGAATTTTGTCATAAGCTAACTTTCTTACCAAGGCGACAGCAGTTCCCAACATAAATGCTTAAAGATGCTGCATTAATTTTTAAAAAGTAGAACAATTTTAAGGACAAATTCATACAATTCTTAAGTGCTATGATAATTTTAAAGAAGATTACTATATAGAAAAGCTAAAAATGAAAATTCAATGACTGTTTCTCACTGAAGTTTCAAAGACAAAATTACAGTTTCCACATTTCATGACTTAAGAATTTGACAGCAAAATGTTAAGCTTTATTTTTTTACCTTTCTCCTAGCAAAATGATTTCTTATCACCTCCGTATTAATGTGTTTACTTTATATTTTTATCTCAGGTAGAGCATCTTCCTATTCAATTTCTTTAGATACAGATCAGACTTCACATTACTGTAGTCTGCATTTATCCAGCTTTCACAGATTAATTAAAATCAATACTTCTGATTCACTGTTGCGATTAATCATTTTAAACCAATTCTTTTGGCTAAAAGATCAAACAGAGAACTACACATACTTTCTTTCATGGCTAAGAGCACAAAGATGGGTCTTAAAGCCAAATATTCAGAGGGCATTAGGGATCTTAAATCCTTCACAAACGCTTGCTGAAATTTTGGTCATTTTTCCCTTTAATATTTTGATAGGATTCTTTTTCATATGTATGATTTTACCAACAAACAGAGAAGTGCTTTTTAAAGTCTATTTGGGAAAACAACCGAACACATATTTTTAAAAGGCATGACAAAGCAGACCTCTTGTACAATAAGCTCTTGTTTCGGAAGGCTGACAGCCTCTCATCATTCCATCTGTCCAGATAGCATCCAACCACAAATCCCAAGGGAACAAGGATGTGAACCCAATGGTCACGCACAGCTTGGGCAAAATTCACCATGGCTGCTAGAAAAGAAAAGTATAACAATAAGAGTTAGTAATTAATCTGTACATGGAAGCCAGTGCATGCTTTAGAACATTTAACCACGCTTACTAGAATCCTACTCTGGGATCATACATATACAGGCATTAAACACTTCCAGCTAGACACAGATTTCATAGAATCAAAGAGGTTGGAAGAACCTCTGGAGATCATGTACTCCAACCTCCCCCCTTCCCCCCCGCTAAAGAAGATTCCCTACAGCGGGTTGCTCAGGAAAGTCTTCAGATGGGTTGTGAGTATCTCCAGAGAAGGAGATTCCACAACCTCTCAGGGCAGGCTGTTCCAGTGCTTTGTCACCCTCACAACAACAAAGTCCTTCTGCACATTTGTAGGAATCTTCCCGTGTTCCAGTTAGTGCTCACTGCCCTCTGTCCTATCGCTGAGCACCACTGAGAAGTCCTGGTCCCAACCATTTGACTCCCAGACTGCAGGTATTTATAAACACTGACAGGATCCCCTCTCAGTCTTCTCCGCAGGATGAACAGACTCAGGTCTCTCAAATGCGCATGCAAGTTTCTTAGAAACAGCCCTAAACAACGCTCGGGTCTTAGAAATGGGATTTTATCCTAAAATGGGAGAGAAACATCTCTCTTAAGGCATTAATGGTGCAATTTATGCGAGCTCAGATAACAGAAGGTAGACACAAGCCGCGTTCCTTTCCGTTCCCTCTCCCCTTCCCCGTCCCTCCCCCCGCCCGCCGAGCCGAGCCGAGCCGAGCTCTCAGGGCGCCCCGTGTGCCTGCACTCACGGCACCGACCCTCGGGAAGGCGGCTGCCAGCGCGCCACGCACGCGAGACGCTATCCCGGCACCTACCGGGACTCACAAACACCGCGCGCCGCACCAGGCCCCGCTCAGCGGCCACCCCAAGGGCAACGGGCGGCGCGAGCAGCTCGGGAGAGCCCACGAGCGCGGGGGAGCGAGGGGAGCCGCCTTCCCTCCGCCCCGGGAATGGTGCCGTCCGTTCGCCTCTCCCCTTCCTCCTCCTTCTCCCCGCCCTGCGCAAGATGGCGGCGAGCGGCGCCGGTGCGGGCGGCCGTGGGCGCGCGTCGTGAGGCTGCACGGGCAGCTCGAGGCAGGTAGCGGCGGGGAGAGGGCGCCGCTTTGGAGCGGCCCCTCCGCGGGAGCCGAGCAGTAAAGGGCCTGAGCGGTGCTCGCCGCGCTCGTTCTTCCTCCCCTCGGGCCGGGGCCGAGCGGCGGGTCCTGGCCGGGCGCTGGAGCCGCTCTGTGGGGCCGGGCTGCCCTCGGGCGGCCGCAGGGTCTGGAGGGCCGCAGCTGTCGCAGCGCGGAGCTGCGCGTGCCGCACCGCCTCCCGTGGTTCGTTAACGTTCGTGTCTGATTCTACTGAATTCCGAATCTCTAATCGCAAAAGGCCCCCAAGGATCAGGTGTTGCTATCTGAAACTTATCGACAGGTATCCAGCTGCTGCGCTCAGCGTCACGCATCGCTGTTGTTGTGTGTGTTATCAGGAACGTTAGCAGAAATAGCTCTACCTCTTAACTTCTTGTGTTTTTTTCCTAAATAAGTAGCCTTTTGTTTTGGATTACTCAGTAACACGTTGTCTTCCCCTGCTCAGATCCCTTCTTTAGGAAATAAGGCACTTGGACAGCAGGATGACTTCCATCATCAAGCTGACCACGCTCTCCGGAGTGCAGGAGGAGTCTGCCCTGTGCTACCTGCTGCAGGTGGATGAGTTTCGGTTTCTGTTGGACTGTGGCTGGGATGAGAACTTTTCTATGGATATTATTGATTCCCTAAAGAAGTAAGTACTTTATGCACTTTAAACGTGCTTTGTGTTTTTTGAAAGCTCTCAAAATAACTTCTTGACAGAGTTGGGATACTCTGTAGAAGTTGGTTTTCAGATCGAGTCTGCTGATCTTGAAACACAAGGCAAGAGTTCATATGTGTGTGTGTATATATATATACACATATTTATGTACATACATGTTGATGTCACACCCAAAGTTGATCTCTCCCAGAGGAGGGCCATGAAGATGATCAGGGGACTGGAGCACCTCCCCTACAGGCTGAGGGAGCTGGGTTTGTTCAGCCTGGAGAAAAGAAGGCTGCAGGGTGACCTCATTGCAGCCTTTCAGTACCTAAAGGGAGCCTACAAAAGGCAGGGGAATCAACTCTTTGAAAGGGTAGATAACAGCAGGACAAGGGGAAATGGTTTTAAGTTGAGGGAAGGGAGATTTAGGTTGGATGTCAGGGGGAAGTTCTTTACAGAGAGAGTGGTGAGGTGCTGGAACAGGCTGCCCAGAGAGGTTGTGGATGCCCCGTCCCTGGAAGTGTTCAAGGCCAGACTGGATGGGGCCCTGAGCAGCCTGGTCTAGTATTAAATGAGGAGGTTGGTGGCCCTGTGTGTGGCAGGGGGTTGGAGATTCATGATCCTTGAGGTCCCTTCTAACTGGCCATTCTGTGATTCTGTGATCTTGGTTTGAAGAACGCTTTGTGCGAAGGGGATGGTAATGCTCAAATATTTTCTATGTTTATTTATTCAGTTATTTTTAAACGTAATGCGTCTCATCTGTCAACTAGCTCTTAAACTTTTCTGAGCTTTGGTTGTTTTGTGTTGGTTGGTTTGTTTGCTTGTTTTTAAATAAATTTGATACAGAGCAGCATATGAGAGGCTAACCTTGGCTCTAAAATAATCCAGCAAGTTTTATATGAAGGAGGCCTTATTAAATACGGACTGAACAAGAGTAAAGTGTTTGAACTCTTGCCTTGTGCTTCAAAATCAGTAGACTCAATCTGAAAACCAACTTGTGCAGAGTATCCCAACTCTTGCAAGAAATAAAGAACGTAGTGCTTAGCTTTTCATGTTTATATTTATGAGCTTCCCTGACATAGCAGTTTGTTACAAGTAAATGACTGAAACATGAATGTTCTGGAAAAAAGCTAAACTTTGTGATGCTGTTTTTATATTTTCACTTTTTCTAGCATTAATGCTCTTGCGACATTTGAAGTTGTTTAACTGAGGGTTATTGTGTACTAGCATCTAAAATGCTTCAGGTGTCTTACCTGAGATGCATTTAAATATAATCCCTGTTTTAATAATAGCAGTCAAGAAGAATGTGCATGCTCCAGTTACTGTGTAAGGGACCAGAAAAATGAGTCCTTCTGCCCAATTTGTGTTTTCACTTGTTGCATTTGTTTTGGGCCCTTATGTTTTTATGATAGCTAGTCTTTGGCCTGAGTTTTTAAGTTTTACCATAGTTTTCAAGAAAAAGCAACTTGTGTTTTTATTTATATAGCTTAATTTTTAAAATGAAGCTAAAATTCACCCTTATTTTTAACCCAAATGTATTTTGATCGATCTTTGCATCCTGTTATTTATACTTTTTCATTTGAAGAAAAGTTGTGGTGTATTTTAGGTTTTTAGATACATAAGCAGTAACGTGTTTGCACTGCAAACAAATACCTTTGGTTCTTCAGTTAATGAACTTTATGGTATCCAAACATATGCTAAAGTCTTTCTAATCAAGAACATAGTGCAGAACTTTTGGAAGTTCGTATGTCACCTGGTCCTTGAACTTATGTTTTCAGATCTCAGTTATTTAAGTTTTTACTTTACTAGAGATTGTTTGAAAAAAAAAAAACCCATAACTTTTAACTATGTTTTTAAAACTTCATTCTAAGCTGAAAGGACTTGAGTTCTCATGTTTGGTGTTTGTACTGTGCAGTTGATCTCAAGACAGTCATGGTAGGACCTATGTCATACTATGTACAACTCCTTACCATCTTCTGCTGTCCTTTTGTAGACACGTACACCAAGTTGATGCTGTTCTCCTTTCTCATCCTGACCCTCTACACCTCGGTGCTCTTCCATATGCAGTTGGAAAAATGGGATTGAATTGTGCCATTTATGCTACTATTCCTGTGTATAAAATGGGACAGATGTTTATGTATGATCTCTATCAGGTATCTTTTAGATTCACACCATAATACCCAACATCTTTGACAAGGTAGAGGGCTCAAATTTTTGATCATTCTGTGCTTCTTATTTGTTTTAGTCTCGCCATAATACTGAAGATTTCACACTCTTTACATTGGATGATGTAGATGCAGCATTTGATAAGATACAGCAGCTAAAGTTTTCTCAGATTGTCAACTTGAAAGGTAAAGTTCTGTCACTAAAAGTTTTGATAGATTAGTGATTTTGTTCCCTTTCATTGGCAGTTAGGTAACTTTTTGAAAGGAGTATATTATTGGAATGTTGTGCTTTTCACAGGTGTCAGTCTACATCAACCAAATGTTTGCCTCAGTAGTGAGGTAGTCAGTAGAATTTCCATTTAATGAAGAGGAGAACGTTATGCCAAGGTTGATGGATTTTACTGGTTAGATAGGAAGGAGAGAGATGTTACTGATTTTCATACCTCATTTGACTTTTTTTCAAGTGATAGCTTTGGAGTTTAGCTACTTACTTACCTATTATTTAGAGTAATAGATTTTCATACCTGTCATCTACCTAAAATATTGAGATATCTATGAGACCATTCTTTTTTGTAGGCAAAGGACACGGTCTGTCAATCACACCATTGCCTGCAGGTCACATGATAGGAGGCACAATTTGGAAGATTGTCAAAGATGGAGAGGAAGAAATTGTTTATGCAGTTGATTTCAACCACAAGAGGGAGATGTAAGTTCAATATAACTAACTATATTTCTCTGATGTGTTAAGTGTGTGTAATTTGTGTGATAAATAAGTATGGAAGTAGCCTTTCCAGATATAAGACGACCACTAATTTTACTTGCATTCATATCAGTGAATTTGAAACAAGCTTTAGCCCTGAGTTTCTTCATTCTGGTCATATTTTAGATTGAAGCAGGAAACATTCAGAAAGTATTAATATGATGGACTTTTGAAAAGCTTTTTTTGTTATTTTGAGAAGAGAAATAATGCACAGCTTCTCTTTGTCATGTAGGAAACAGTTATTACAAACTCTGTTTTCTGTTTCTCAGAATCTTACTTGACTTAGAAGGAACAGGAACTCTTAAAACAATGTGCTCAAATCAACTTATCAAGATGGAATTTGCAGTATAACCATACAGTATAGTTGTTTTTAGGATGTTTTTGGGATACACAATGTTTACTTTCTGAAAAATATCCTAGAGGCTATAGAGCAAGTAGATGAGTGTTGACTCTTAAAAGTTTCTGCATGGCTACCGGATAGTTAAGATTTAAGAAAGTTTATGGTTTTGAAATTCCTGGAAAATCTTAAAGAAAAGTGTGTGGTTTTTTCTACCTTAGAAAACTGACAGGATATTTCTCATGTCCTGTCTTCCTCCCATAAAATGCTTGTTTAGGAGAGGAAAAAAAGCAAGAAAATAAATATCGAAATAAGTTTTACTCATTAGTGTTTGTTACTATGGTTTTTAATATGCATCTTACCCAATTTAAGCATAAAAGCAGAATTGTAGAACATCCAGAAAGGAAAAGGTCCCATAGGAATCATGGAATCCAATCGTTGGCTCCCCACTGGACCACCCAGCTTCAAGCCCTGTGTCTGAGAGCTTGTCCAAATGCTCCTTGAACCCTGGCAGGCTTGGTGCTGTGACCACAGCCTTGGGGAGCCTATTTCCTGGCTTAATTGAAGTTACGCTAAAGGGACTTTCAGGGGGTGAAATAAGAGGCAGGAAGAAAAGTGAACTAAATTGAAACTGTTTTTTGCCAGTAATTGTAAATATTTATGCAATTGATAATAAATATTTACTATATTAACCTCCTCAGAATTACTTATTTAATCAGACTGACTCTTGGACATCTTATTCTTGGTCTGAAGTATTTTCTTTAAGCAGTTCTTTGATTTGCTTTTATGTGATACCCTGTTTTTTCCACTGTTGAGATGTACATGCAAAACTATGTTCACTGTCTTATTTTTTTTCTTGTAAAATAAAAATGCTGACAGTGAGTTCTGGCCTTTTCTTTTACAGCCATCTGAATGGATGTTCATTGGAAATGTTGAGCAGGCCTTCATTGCTTATTACAGATTCGTTTAATGCTACTTATGTGCAACCCAGGAGGAAACAGAGGGACGAACAGCTACTAAGTACGTATTCTGTTTGGGGCTCAAGATAGCAGTAAAAGTGTGACTTATTAGCCACTGTAAATTGTTTTTGTGTAAGAAGTTTACTAACATCTAAATTAAGGATCTGTATTCAAATTTAACAAATTTTGAATTGCTTTTTCCTGATGGTACTAATCCTGGGGGGGAAAATGTTTTCATAAAAACGATGAATTGCACCCTATATAAAGTGTATGTGAAAATGGTGTATTTTATCCAGTGATGTTTGACTTAAGGGATTTTTAAATGACCTTCCTTAGCACATTCTGCTGTAAATCTCCGTTTTACCGATGTTTAAAAAAGTTATTTTACAAATTAGTAATCACGCTGGTGAGATCTTCAAAGCTCTACTTGTGGTTCAAAGTAGTTTTTTGTTTTAACTCTTCTTAGCTAATGTTTTGGAGACATTACGAGGTGATGGAAATGTGTTGATAGCTGTGGATACAGCTGGAAGAGTTCTGGAACTTGCTCAACTACTTGATCAGATCTGGAGAACGAAAGATGCAGGATTAGGAGTTTACTCTCTAGCACTTTTGAATAACGTCAGCTACAATGTAGTGGAGTTCTCTAAATCACAGGTTTGTTTTCATTTTGATATGCAGTTGTAAGGGGGGGGTAACAGGATATGTATTCAAGAGCTTTTTTTTTTTTTTTCTTTAACAGTAAGAAATGACTGAAAACTGAGTGTTTTCCTTATTCTAGAGTAGGTGTTTTCCTCAAGCAAATATTTTTCTTTTTGATCAAGTTACACAAAGTCCAGTCATGGCTGCTGCCATAGTTTCTGATATTCATTTTATCACAAAACTTGTTAAAATAGTTTATAGCTATTAAAAAGGTGGTTTTAAATTACTTATTTGTGTTGTTTACCCTACATTATTTCTACACATATTGAGAAACTTTGTAATTGTGCGTATTTCATTCCTCTTCTTCATGTCAGGTTATATATTTTTATATAGCTTGTATTACTCTAGATAATGTTGTCTAAATATTATGTTTTAGGTGGAATGGATGAGTGATAAATTGATGAGGTGCTTTGAAGACAAGAGAAACAATCCTTTCCAGTTCCGCCATCTCTCCTTATGTCATAGTCTGTCTGATTTGGCTCGAGTGCCTAGTCCAAAAGTTGTCCTTGCCAGCCAACCTGATTTAGAATGTGGGTTTTCGAGAGATCTTTTCATTCAGTGGTGCCAGGATTCCAAGAACTCTATAATTTTAACTTACCGTACCACACCTGGAACATTAGCACGATTCCTGATTGATAATCCTTCTGAAAAAGTTATAGATATTGAGGTAAAAATTGTCTGTTTATCTTAAATGTTTCTGTGGTGGACTATTGGGGGGAATATAAGTAAAATTGAATTTAGTTCTCTTTTTTTCCCTGCTGAAAATGCTTCTAGTGGCAGAAGAAAATCTGAAATGAGTATGTTGCATATATAAAGTGTTAAGGATAAATTTGTATAAAACAGGTCTTAGTAGGAAGTGCTAAATATTTTTTGTTGCTGCAGTTGAATTAGCATCTAATGAGGTGAGCATGAAGTTGCTTTTAAATATTTATCTTTAGACAATGTTTTTTTTTGTCCTCATGTTAGAAAAATCTATGCAGTTTAGGTGCAGATCCAACTATAGATGGATTGTTCTTGCTGGAAACTACTTTGGTTTTAGATTAGGGGAGAATCAAGTCAAATGAGTACAGTGTATCCTACCAGAGTAAGATAAGTGAAATTTATGAACTAAAAGAACACAATTATTTGTTAGTTATGCTGCCTGATTATATTCAAATAGTATAGCTGTGCCTACTTCACTCTGGTAAATAGTGGTAATTTCTGGGAGTCCTTTGCAATCCCAGTAATCATTTCAGTCCTGATGATGCAACTTGCTTTCAGTTTTAGGCTGGATTGGTTCAGTGTTACTAGAATTGAACATTATCGGATGTGACCTGTAGTCTAATCAGTTATGCAAAACAAAACAAAACAAAAAAACAAAAAACCCCACAACTAAGAAACAAGGCTTGATGTTGTTTTGCCTGCTAACATGTAATTTTGCCAGGTATTTCTGTTCACATTAGTGATGCAAAGGTCAAAAAATAGCTGCTCACCTTGGAGTATTTGTGTTTAGTTATTGAAGGGAGGTATTTCCTAAAGATATTTTAAGGAATTATTGTAAAATGAATTGATTTTAATACTTCAGAATTAATTTTATGTTCTTAGTACGTAGTCTGTACTAATTGTCATGATGTTGGCATGCTAAGGTGCCATGTGTTTATGTAAGTTGTTACATAAAGAACAAGATTGTATTTGTCCTTGGTACTTAAATATTATCTTACCAGCAGTGTGTAGGAGAAGTATTAAAAGCAAGTCAGCTACTCATAGAAAGTCTAATTTTTACTTTATTTGTAAGTTGAGAAGACGTGTCAAGTTGGAAGGAAAAGAACTTGAAGAATACCTAGAAAAGGAGAAACTAAAGAAAGAAGCAGCTAAGAAGCTAGAGCAGTCTAAAGAGTAAGTATGTTAGCTGTTGTGTTCTGCTGTTGTCAGAGTTGAGATGCATGTTCAGCCTGATGTTTCAGGCATTTACAAGGACAAGTGAAAGTAACAGTTTTGGTAGGTTTGTCTGAGTGCATCGAGGAGTCAGAATGGTTGTCTTTAATCCGTTACTGTAGACCTGTTTCATCTGAATTTTGTGAACGTTTTCTTGGATACATCAATTGTCCTTGCCCTTAGTCTTAACTGTTACTGTCCAGTCAGTGTGGTTTTTGTAATACCAAACCTGAAGAAAAAAGAAAAGAAAATTATTTTTGGAATTCCTATTATTCCTGGAATATCATTTCAGGGCAGATATTGATTCCAGTGATGAGAGTGATGCGGAAGAAGATATTGATCAGCCAACTGTGCATAAGACCAAACACGATTTGATGATGAAAGGTGAAGGTAGCCGGAAAGGAAGTTTCTTCAAACAGGCAAAGAAATCTTATCCAATGTTCCCAGCCCCTGAAGAAAGAATTAAATGGGATGAATATGGCGAGATTATCAAGTATGTGGGGAGAACAGTGGTAATGCTTAGTAATGTGTAATAGCAATGAAATAGTTCAATAATAAAAGTAATAAAAATAAAAATCAGGTTTGTCTCTCTTTTGCTATGCTGTTGAATGCTTTTCCAAACACATTAAGTTTTACATGGCTTCTGAAACATGATTCCAGTTAAGTTTCACAGGAAGCTTATGATTGGATTGAAACTGCCAGCTATTCACCTGAATTCACATTTGTTAGAAAGCGAATCCAGTCCAGGTTTTTGTTTTGGTTGTTGTCATCGTTGTTTGCTTTATTTTTTCTTTTTATGGGAGAAAAGATTAAAAACTTATTTTGAATTTGGCATTTTCCTGCTTTATATTCCACATAATTTTGAAAAACTTATGGAGCTTCATTAAGGAGCATCATTTAGCCTAGAAAAATCTGGCAATGTTTGTCCCATTTTTATGATGAATACATGGTAGAAACCCTTAAATCAGTAGTATTCTGCAAGTTATCAAAGTTCTTTTTTTTTTTTTTTTTTTAAGGTATGAAGGTGACACTTTCCAAATGAGCTCTCTTCATATGTAGAATTATTTAAGGAAAACGTATTTAAATTGTTAACACTAAAAATTTTAAGATAACTCAGTAATTATGTCAGCACTGCTTGTTTTTATATTATGTAGTGCTTTGGATTTGCCATAAGACTATTAAAAGCAAGATGCCTTTCCTTCTTTAGACCAGAAGACTTTCTAGTTCCAGAACTTCAGGCAACAGAAGAAGAAAAAAGCAAATTAGAATCTGGTTTGACAAATGGAGAGGAGCCAATGGACCAGGATTTATCAGATGTTCCTACCAAATGTATTTCAGCAACAGAATCCATGGAAATTAAGTGAGTGGCTTTGTTCTTGTTTTCCATAATTTCAGAGCCAGGAGAAGAAAAGAATAATTATATATATTATTATAAATATATATATATATATATGTGTGTATATATATTTTTAACATTGTGAGACTGGATAGTGGCTCCCTGTATTTTTCCCACCTACACAAATGTCTTTTGCAGAAGGATCAGTAAGAAATCTATGCCAGTCTAATATCGGGCTATTAATAATGCACATATTTCACATTCTGTTTTGTTCTGCTTGTTACCTGTGTGATAAAAAAGAGGTAATGCGTGAATTCCAGTACTGCGCATCTCCTGAATCCTTCCTCCAAAGTCTCAGCACTTAGAGGATTATTTGGAGCTACACGTGTGTACATGCTGATATTGTACAAATCTGTCTTTTACTGGTCTGTAACGTACCTTTTGCTGACATTTTACTCTGATGTAGAATAATTTTTTTGCAATGTTTTCCATTTTTAAATTAAATCTCACAAAATATTTTATCTTGAAGATACATGGTTTCTGTTCATTTGCATCTTTTGTGTTGTTTGTTCAAACTAGAGCCAGGGTTACATATATTGACTACGAAGGACGCTCAGATGGGGACTCAATTAAAAAAATCATTAACCAAATGAAACCAAGACAACTAATCATTGTCCACGGACCACCTGAAGCCAGCCAGGACCTTGCTGAATGTTGCAGAGCTTTTGGTGGAAAAGATATTAAAGTGTATATGCCAAAACTACATGAAACTGTAGATGCGACCAGTGAAACTCATATTTACCAGGTAAGGTGCTGGAATTTGTTACTTGTGTGTACAAGTACTGAGAACTGTAGTAGAGCAGTTGTAGTGGCAGACTTTCTTATTTAACCCTCAGTTCTTCGTTAAAGGAGATACACATGAAATGTTTTGCATACTTGACTTTGACATTAACAGCTTCTTTTATGTGTAAGCATTCTCCTATGCTCAAGTGAGTATTTCTCATAAGAAGCGTTTAAAACAAAACTTGAATGTGAGGTCAGTGTTCTTTAACCTGTAGTGCAGAAAGCCATGTTTATGTCTGTGGAAACATCAGTTTGTTTTACTCAAGTAACAGCTTTATTCTGTCTATATTTAAATTACTACCGTATGTGACCTGAAATTCAAGATTCTTTTTGAAATGTCAAGCAGAACCTTAGAGAGCAAAGAAAAAAAAAAAAAATCATATATTGGACTCTTTGTACCCAATAGTTTAGAGGAAAGCATTTTGCATGCTGTTTAGACATCAGTCCTTTATTCCTTTTATCCTTTTAAAATTAATCTAAAAGCATCATTAGAATTGTTGAAAGAAGTATTTTTGCTTTTTTCCAGAGAAAAATCTGTTAGCCTTGGAAGTAGAAGGTTCCAGTTATTTAAAATTATCTTGTTCTGATATTCTTAAGACAGCAGAGTTTTGTGGGTTTTTTTTAGTATTGCTAGGGTGTGAGAAATGACAGATTTATGATTTTTCACAAAGTATTTATCTGAATAAAACTATAACAGTTCTATATTTCATTTTAATTTTGTTGTTATTCATAAAGGTGAAATCAATCTTCATAGATTCAGGATTCTTAAAATATATATTTTCTTTCTTGTTGAAACAACTGAACAGATGGAGTACTCTGGAGACATTGAATTAGAAGATAATAGACGAGAGCTGGATATCAGAATCCTGATGTCTTTTGGTTGGATTGTGCTGCAGATAATTAGTTGCAATTTCATTTGTACAGTTGCAGCCTTGATTCCTCTACTGTGATAGTGCACCATTCCATGTGGATGGTGGTCTTTCAGGGTAGGGCTTATTTAATGAGTTCATTCTCGGAGTGTGCTAGAGGAATCAAAGTAATATTTTGACTTAAAGTCTGATATTGTCAACTTCCCCTTTCTCTATAAAATACATTTTTAAGAAGGTTGAAATTTAGAGCAGCTGTTTCGTTACCTGAATATGTTTTTAGACATTTTCCTTAAATTTGGTAAAGCCAACTGAAGAACCCCTTGGCCACAAAAAAAAAAAAGTTGCTTTAAAAGACACCTGTGAGTCTGACTTGTTTTGCAGGCATACTGGTTCTTATTTCAATCAAGATTAAAAAAGATATAGCTCTCTTCTACTGTTTAAGTTGACTACTGAAATAAGATAGTTACAAAATATAATTTGTATTATAGGATGTCTTCCTTCTCCAAAAGACTATGAACTAAACCTATGCAGAGAGAGAATAGAAGAAAAACTGCTTTAAAAGCATGAAATAAGAATCTGTTTGTTTTTTTTTTTTTCTATCAAACCATGCTTTTATTTTTGTGCACTCCAGGTCAGGTTAAAAGATTCTCTTGTCAGCTCACTTCAGTTCTGTAAAGCCAAAGATGCTGAGTTGGCTTGGATAGATGGTGTCCTGGATATGAGGGTCTCGAAAGTGGATACTGGAGTTATTTTGGAAGAGGGAGAGCTGAGGGAAGATGAAGAGTTAGAGATGCAAGTGGATATGCCTTCTTCAGACTCTAGTGTCATTGCACAACAAAAGGCCATGAAAAGTCTCTTTGGTGACGATGATAAGGAGATGTGTGAGGAGAGTGAAATCATCCCTACTTTGGAACCACTGCCACCTCATGAGGTATGGAAACTTTCATGGATTAGACTACTTTTTTTTGAGTTCTGTATTCTAATACTGTTATTATTGTTACAGATTTTAAACTTTTCATCAAGCACTATCTATTGCATCCAATAATGGTGCCTAGCATACAGTTACCATCTATTTGTGAATATTAGATCTTAATGTTCCATATTTGTAATTAATACCTATGGATTTTTAAATCAGTTGATATTTAGTCCTCCTTTGGTTCCATTATGTGTTGTTGATGCCATGGGAAATATACTATGTACTTAAGTAGACATGTGTTTTTGAAATTTGTACATCTTTACCTATGAGTGATCTGAAAGCTCATTAATTTTTCAATGATATTTCTCTTAAATGAAAATACTTGCATGTGTGAATAGATAATTTCATTTTGTTCAGTTAATGAAGTACTTCCTTATCCTAGAATTACTTAAGATACTATTGCAGAGTCTTGAACGTAGTCTGTTCTAGGAGCTAGATAAACATGAGACAACTCTAAAGTCTCTTCAGATTCATGACAGCAGTCGCAGAAGTATGTACTGATCAGTAGTGCAGCTTACTGCAGCTCTGGCCCTGGCATAACTTGGCTCAAAAGAGTCTTCAATATGTGAGCGTGGAAAGAAGTCTTTTGCTTGGCAGATGACTTCTAAGGCTTGCCATCCTGGAACTGTCTTGCCAATTTTCTCCTTTGTAGTCCTGTAGCTTATCCATAGGCCATGCTGTTGCTAACACAGTAAGGAGAAGATCTTTGGAAAAATGGAAGGCAGTAAGTAGCAGAAGTTTTAAAACTGTGTACATTGCTTAAAGGTTCCTGGACATCAGTCTGTGTTTATGAATGAGCCAAGACTATCTGACTTCAAGCAAGTTCTCTTGCGAGAAGGAATTCAAGCTGAGTTTGTAGGAGGAGTGCTTGTGTGCAACAATATGGTGGCTGTTCGCAGGGTAGGTGATCTTAAAACTCTTTGCTAAGTAGTATTCTAAATGAAAATTAAGCTTCTTGTTAGTTTAAAGATATTAAATTGAAATATCTTTTTGTTTCAGACTGAAACGGGGCGCATTGGATTGGAAGGCTGTCTCTGTCAGGACTTCTATAGGATAAGAGAACTTCTATATAAGCAATATGCTATTGTCTAAAGGAAGCACTTAAAGGTGTTTTCGCTTGAACTTCTGAATATGCAGAGGATTTCTCTCTGGACTTTTTGTAATTTTCTAATTTATACAGGGGAAAAGTAATTCATAAAGAACAGTTAATTACCCTGAACATGTAAATAAGTACCGTTGTTGCTCTTCATAAATCTGTTGGTATGTTCCATGTTCTTGACTTTCGAACTATTATGACTTATCTCCCACATAATGCGTCACAAATGAGTTTATGACCACGAACTGTTTCTCAGGAAGGCTTTGTATTGATGGGTCATGTTTTGATTTGTTAGATTTCCTGCCAAAGACTACAAAATAGATAAAAGTCATTCTTCTCTTCTCAAATAAGATTAGATAGGGAGTTGTGGTTTCTTTTTCTCTTTTTTTGTTAGCTTTTTTGTTATTTCAACAAGTTTGATTTATAGAAGAGTCTTGAGTTGTTGTTGTTTCTTTTTTTTCCCCTTTTTAAATGGGGTCTAGTTAAAATATATTTTTAACAGCCCACTTAAAGTTGTCTGTATGTTCCCCCAGTGCTAATCTGGCTGCATCTTAATGTTGTTGCTTGTCTCTTCTTACTGACTTGTTCCAGTACAGCACTTCATTATTCTATATGAAGTATTAATCTGCAGGATCAAAAAACTACTTTGAAAAGGTAAGTTAAGAAGACTGGTGAAGATACTTGGGCACCTTAAAATCTAGCAATTATGTGCTTCAGGGTAACTTCCGTACAAAGTTATTGAATTTGTACCTTCTAGCTTTTGCAGAATTGTGCCAACTATTTAAATTCTGATTTTTAACACGTTGGAAAACTAAAGCCTTTATGTACGCAGTGCTGTTTGTTCAGAATGCCATGAATCAAGTTCAGGATCCTTTATCTTGAAAGCTGAGTTCATGTGATTAAATCTAATGCTTTTGTGTCGTGTTTCATACTAGTTGCATGTTTTGACAGTGGGATTTATTCTAGCAGATGATGCTAGAAATTGAGCTTACTTTTTTGGTGAAGATGAGCAGTTCTTCTAATTCAGTTTCTCAGAAATGAATTTATACAAATAGCCTCTTGCGAGTTTATTTAATCCCATTTCCCCCCATCCACATATGCACCACCAGTTTTGGTAATGAAAGGTTGCCTGCTTGTTTTCACATACAACAGCAATGTAATATGTGCTCTCTGTCTAATGTTTAAATAAAATATTTGGGCAAAGTGGCAAAAAAGCAGCCCTGTGGGCTATCAGTGAAAAGATAATTTGCCTTCTAATTTGTTCTTTGGCTAATAGTTTCTTATCTGATCTACAGAATATTTATTCTGTTTAAAAGAGGAACTTGAAATTAAAGTCTCCCTTTCAAAAAGAGAAAAAGCAAACTACAAAATACCCAAGCTGCTAGAACTAGATACTAAAAATGTTAAACTCTTGAAAATGTTAAGTGAGAATGTACTTTGTTACATAAAACTTCCTGTCTAGGATTGACTAAAAGCTGAACACTTCTTTGGCAACAGTATTGAAAAATGTTTTCAATTATATTGACAGTCAGAACTTCTTAGAAATGCTTTTTTTTTTTAGCTGTTTTGTAGCAATGCTATGTAAATCTACATGATTTGGGATGCTTACTGGTTAATACTATTGTATTACTATTGTTGATACTAATGAACTTTTATAAAGTGCATTACTTTGTACATAATAATTTTGGCCTTAGAACTTTTAACCTGGGGTCTTGGGGTGGGCAGAGGTCTCTTAAGACTGAAAGGGATACCATAATAAATAATTTTATCCCAGAACTGGATGGTGAGGTCTCACAAGAGCAGATGGGCAGAATCGCCTCCCTTGACCTGCTGTCATGCTTCCCTTGATGCAACCCAGGATAAGGTTGGTCTTCTAGGCTGCAAGTGCACATTGCTAGCTTATGTTGAGTCTGTCATCAACTGACACACCCAAATCCTTCTCCTCAGAGCTGCTCTCAAGCCTAGCCTGTATTTGTGTTTGGCATTGCCCCAACCCAGATGCAAGACTGGCGTGGGCCCACCTCTCAAGCCTGTCTAGGTCCCTCTGGATACCATCACTTCCCTCTAGTGTGTCACTTGCACCACTCAGGTTGGTGTCATTTGCAAAGTTGTCACCTACTGAGATGTTAAATAACACTGATCCAAGCACTGGTCCCTGGGGAACGCCGCATTGAGCTGTTGACCACAACTCTGAGTGTGACCACCCAGCTAGTAGTCACCTTTTAAGAGATACTGGGTTGGAAGCTGAGTGCACAGTCAAATCAGATAAAGATATCCAGGGAACAGAATTTTAAATCTTAGATACCTAAAAACTGTATAAGGAACAGTTTTAAAGTTGGATTCATTTTGTAGATAAAACTCACTGTTGTGTATGCCTCATTATCTGTAAATACAGAACAGGAGAGTTAGTTATGTCAATGTGAGCCGTATTAGTCTTAATGAATGAATACATTTATTATCTCTTCTTTTATAATACAAGTTTACTTAGAAAATGATCTTTCAAGAAGTTTGCTGGCAGGGTAAATTTCTCATCAGATGCCTGCATTTTAAAGAGTGTACGTTGTGAAATCTGGGTGTACATCACACTGCTTTAGCAGTATTAACATAAGCATGAAAGAGTGTGTTGTTTTGGATCTATCTAAATTACTGAAAATGTTTTACTGATTTAATTAATTCCTTGTCCTAAAGGATGTGTAGATGTGTTTCTGGCAGAGAAATTCTGCTGAAGAGTGGTTGCACTTCAGTGGTGGGTAAACTGATCAGTATTTTCAGCTCTATAATGCTCACTGTGGAAAAGGAATATAAAAGTAATATTTAAATATTAATGACTTGACGAGTGTGTTTTCTTACATGTAGTGAGAATGTGAAAGTTTGATAAATATGGGAAGTATCAAGATATGGGAGAACTTATATTGTTTCATGCAGTGCACTGCAAATTACATTCTCTTTGATAGGTTCTAAAATTACTGCTGTGATACAAAGTAAAATAAATGACAGTGTTTCTGAGTGGAACTTCCAATAAGCCATGTATCAGTTTTTTTTCTGAATGAAAGATCACTAGAAGCTCAAAATATTATGAAGAAGCAAGTTTGGCATATGAGCTTTAGCAGTAATAACCTGCCTGTTGTTGCATAATCCTCTTAGGTGGTGCAAGCAGGATCTGTGGTTCAGCAGCTGAATGATAGTGAGCTAGGCATCTGCCAAAAGGTATAGTCTCTAACTGCAATCTGGTGTTCACAAATTTTAGTAATGAGCAAATAATTGATTTCAGTATTATAAAATTTTCTTACGTGGTGCTCATTTTCAGTGTAGGTTTTCTGAAATGCTGCAAACTTCTTTAAAAGGTGTTTCTGACAAACAGTTCTGAAGAAATTTGGAAAGGTGGTAATCTAACAGCCAAACATTTTCTGTCCAATCCTGCATGAGATTGATGCCAGTTTCTTAAAACTAGCTTTGGAGATCAAGGGAAGCTTTCATCATTTGGTACTGGCTGTGGTACCCTTGCTGGTATGGAAGACATAGTAAAACTTTTGTCAAATAATACCATCATAACACTGCATTCCATGTCCAATGTAGAAAGAACGTTTTAAAAATACAGTTGAAGGTTTTTTTTTTTCCTCTGTGGCCAATAAGTACAGGAATCATTTGTATGTTAATTAGAAATTGACAAAGACTGAGCTTCAAAACACAGATATTAAGTGATGGCACTTGGAGCAATCAGTTTCTTGAGTTGGTGGCTTCATCAGTGCCTCCTTAGAGTTACTGGGTTGCCCTTTCTGCAAGGAGCCTGGTTTAGCTCTAAACCATAAAATTGTGACACAGGACAGTGGTTTTCTTATCTGCTTTACAGCTGTATAAATCTGAACAAGAGCCCTAGAATGAGCCAGCTTAAATCACTGGAAAATGAGTTCCTGCTAATAAAAAATGATTAATGGCTTAGAAGTTGAAAGCCAATTTCTTATAAAAGTTTGTTTAAAATTGTGCTTTTATATAATGCTATTTCAGTTAATCTAATCTGGAGAAATTACTGCTTCCTCTCCTGATCTTTCTAGTTCAGTAGAAAGAACAATTGGCTTCAGAAGTTCCTAGCCAAGAATCAGAGATAAAACCTCAAAATATAACTGTAGTCATTGCTTCCAAGTTGACCTTTTTTTTTCTTTTAAATCCATCTGGATAAGCTGTAAAATCTTCTTGTCTCAGCTGTGACTTACCCCATGGTGTTTCTCAGAAATAATTATGAAGAAGGGTAGGTAATCTCTTGTTAGTAGTAGTAGTACTCAAATAGTGCAGAAAAATTGTATGAAGGATTTTGAAAGATTTTTTGAAAGAAATGGAATGCAGATAGACATCACTGGAATTCAGTAAATATCGCCTGTTTCATTTTTCTGTCAGTAGTACATGGTGGCAGAAACAGGCTTTTAAAGGTATGTTTTTTGATGACATAATATGAGCTATTAAGATTTAAAATAATAACAAAAAATAATTGTACCTGGTCTGTTACCAACTGCTTCAGGGTGTGAACCTGAGAGTGTTTTCGTAAGAGAGTCTCTCTCAAAAGATGCGAGTTAGTACATAAGACAGTACTGCCCTCTGTTTTACAGTTCTAGCTGTCCAAATCAATCCTGATACAAATAATTATGTCTTCTCTTGTTTTCAAGAAACATGTTTAGCTGCCAGGGGAGGGTGAACCCAGAGCATGATGTGATCAAAACTCTGTAAATCATTGGCAGGTGCTATGCAAGCCATAATTATGATCTGTCTCATAAAAAATCATCAGGGACTCAGTTTTTGCCATGTTGCTGCTCCTGAAGAAGCTGCACAGCTGGCAGAGCATATTGCCCATCACCTTGCCAGACATGGCATTTGAAAGTCTGCCAGATTGCTTTGTGCTGTTACGCTAGCCATAGATCAGCAGTATGTGACAGAATGAGGATAGGAAGCATTTTATTTTTTGCCCTATGTAGGATCACAAGAGTTAAAGTTGCATTTAAGAATCCAATCTGCGTTTTGAACCTACTAGGTATTTCCATTGTGTTGCCTCCAGGGCATAGGTTAGCCAGATTAGCCCCAATGCTGCAGGAATCTATACTGAAATTTTGTTCTTGATGTATTCCAGTACAATTTCTACTAATATCAATGTTTGGAGTTGCTGTATATAGACAGCTTTTCATGTTTTATGTAATTTTATTATGCTCCAGTATTTCTTTCATAATCTCCCTGATTTTACTAATGCACAATATTGCAAATGCAGAATAAAACTAGTCAACAGACTTTAAATCATTTGTGTATCTCTAAACCTCTTATGCTGATTAAAAGTGTTAAGGCTATTAGTATTTTTTTATGTAACCTGGTCTAAATTTAGTTTCTGTTACAGTCAAAAAACACTCTAATATTGCAAACCAGGATCCTAATCTGCTTCCTGTGGAGTTGGTGGCAGCAGTTTTTCAGCTGAGCTTTTGTGTTTTTGTCAGTTGATAACTTGAATAGATAATCTTTTGTGTTTATCACAGAAATTCACGACTTCTCATAGTTCTTATTTCTTTTCCAGAAGTGTGTATGGGGGGAGGGGTGCTGTTGACATTTGTCTTAAATTCTTGTGTAGGGCAAGTAAAAGGAAATAACTGAAGCAAATAGAAATCACATATAGTCAATACCTTCTAAACTGAATAGCTGTAAAATACTAGAATAGCAGCCTCATCCTGCAAAAATGCATCTGTTGGTTCATTCTGGGTAGCCTGTTCTTGTTTTAACACATTAATTGCTGCTATATGGTTGTTTCCAAATGGTATTTGTGTATTAATGACATTGCTTCCTTCAGCATTGTGCATCGCCTTTGGTCAGTCAAGATCCATAGTATTAATTTCACCTGTTCATTAATTTCACAAGTTCTGTTTCTATGATGGAGTGCTATAGAAAGCCAGCTCACAAAAGGTAGTCTAACTGTGCCTTGGTAGTTGAGGTATTAGGACACGTAGTGAAGGAAATGATCGGCTTTGCGTTCAAGGCAACCTTTGGGAACATGGAATAACTTGACTAGTGCTTTTGCTGCTAATTATAAATAAAAATGTATGTCTTTAAGCTGATATACAGAAACAGATGATTTACATGATTGCCTTAACATAAAATTCAAGCTTTTCATATATGTATGCATAATACATGTATGCAAGATAGAGATAACACTATGAGCTGTATGTACTGGAGTTAATAGTTGTAAAGCTAAGAGTACAGAGCTTGAGTGCTTTGCACTTCTGGTAGTCTTAGTCCTGCACTCGCAAGGCTATTCAGCCAATTGTTTTGTAGGAAAGGAATAACTTTCTAATTATTACAGTTATTTCTTTGATCTGCGAATGGAATTTTCCTTTAGTTGTTTGACCATGTTCTTTAACAATTTTGAAATCATTCTGAAATAACTCTCCTAGCTAGTTGAGCAGCCTGAAGAGACTATCTTCTTGAGAATGGGGAGGGGTAGCTGCCTGAGTATTCTTGGTTTGGAAATAAGGTATGGATGGAGTGAAGAAAGAGTCCTAGATTCTGTGGAATTTAAGGAGAAATGACCAAAACTAATGACTTTCTCAAGGAGATGATATTTTGCTTTGCTTCAGAGGATTATGAATATCTTATCAACTATTGCCGATAAAATTGGGCTTAAGATTTGATTGGGGAACCTAGACAGTTTTGCTGGCAGGTCTTCGGGTGTGTTTTGTTCAGTTTTGTGGTCAGAGAAGCTAGAATGATGCCTGCTACTGATGAATACTTAGAAAGCTGTAGGCAAATTGTGGGTGTTCTTGGCAGCTTATGCACTACTGCTTCCAATAACTGCATTGCTCAGTTGACACTAACAACTAGAAGTTACAAGACACTATTTTCTCATCTGTTCATAAAATTTTAATACATGTGGCACTCCATTCACGGTCATTCGTCCAAACAATAGTCTGTAAAATTCTGAATAAGCAAAGATACTTTTTTCATTAATTCTCGCTAATAACATTTTGTCACTGTATGGGAACTGCTGAGTCACGGCCTGAACCTCTGATTGATCACCTGAGGCGAGCAATGAGTCAGCCATGGGAGCACAGGTGAAGGCAATTCACCTGTGCTGCAGGAAGGGGTGGAGCCTGGCTCCACCTCTCCTAGACCCATTTAAGAGCTGACTACCAGTGGAGAAGGATCTCTCTCTTTTTGGAAGATCCACTCCACTGGTCTTTCCTGAGCGAGCCCACGACACGGGTAAAGCATCCTATTTATTCTCTTTGTCTCTCTGTGCCTAACTCTCTTGCTTATTTCATTATTATAACATCTTAATGTTATTTGATTATATAATATTCCTTTATATAATTTTCATTGATTATACAGTCACTTAACAATTCATTAGATCAGTCATATGCAATGTGATTAGATGAAATCTGAAATTAAGGGAAATCATAATAGTTTAATTCCTAAATTTTGAAAAATCTTCCTTGTATTAAGTGACTTTTCTCGTGATGATTCACCTTTCCTGAAAATCTTTGAGCTTACTAATTTGGTTCCAACAATACTAATGTATACTTCTCTAAGCCTTGATTTTTTTGTTGCAAGTATTCTGCTTTACCTTCTATGTCTCTGAAGTGGCAGATACATGCAAGTCTCTGAACAGACTTACAAAGTCTGCTGTAAACTTTTTTTTTTTTTGTACTAACGTAAAATCTCACTCCTATCAGCATTGCAGCCCATATCTTACTGCATAGAGCTTCAACTTCCTGTGTGTGACTTATGAGAAATGCTGAAGTACAATACTGGTTATGTCATTTGGAAAAATGTCAAGTCAACTTCTCGGCTTTTACTCCCACATCTTTTGTCATTGTTTAGTAAATTCCTAGCCCTGCAGCAGGTAACTAACTTATGACTCTGTGTGGAGGGCTGAGAATTATCCAGCAAGGCACCTTTAACATCTAGTATGGTAGGACATGTCTGTGCTGACAGAATGGCGTGCTTCAGGGAAGACATGGGGGAAAAGATGAAACTGGTGGAGAGGGGAAAATTCGTATTTAATTGTCTAATATTTCTGTGGAGTATTCCAAAGGATTACTTCCTGGATCATCAAATTCACACTATTTGTGATTTATGCTTTTAATACTCAGTCTGTCTCCTCAAACACAGGGCCTTTTCTTCATTTCTGTGTTGCATCTTTTCTATTTGATCTGCTTTAGTACTTGGAGAGAAGGGAGTTATTTGCACACCTTTTATGTTAACATTTTCTTAGAATTCTGTCTGCATAAGGAAAAACTGTATTAATTTCAGTTTAGTGAAGGCAGATGCACATGTCAGCATAATGAGCCTTAAACATCTTTAAGGTGACAAGTGATTTGTACAGTGAAGTTATTTTTAGATGGCCAACTTTCAAGTCATGTTGATTTAATATTCCTGAAGCTTCATTGTCACGAAGCTTTGTAATACTTACCAGTTTTCTAAAATGGTGGTTAAGTAAATATGTGAAACAC